CTGCCTCCCCTTAACAGCTCCCTGCCTCACTCACTCCACTCACCCCCGTCCCCGCCCACTGTGAACACCTCAATCTCATCAGCAGAAAACACATCAAGATTGTATCCCGGAACCGGTGGCATGGTGGGGTACAGCGGCTGCAACATCGTTGGCTCCCATTTCACCCGCACCCCTACCCCTTGCGCCCATCCCAAAGGCAGAGGCGCCCAGAGCCCCAGCCACTCGGGTCCGAGAGGCTGGGTGACGCTCAGCTTGGCTAGCTGCACCCGTTGCTCGTTGTCTGCTCGCGAGACAGTGATGCGGCGAGGCATCACCGACGGCGACTGGAAGGTGGGCGGGGAGGTCCCGGATGCCTTGAAGACGAGGGCGTTGGCCGTGTAGTAGTTGAAAGCTCCTGGGCCGTGGGGGGCATCCATGGGCGAGGGCGGCCGGATGCTCTCGTCAATGAAGCAGCCATGCATGTCCTCGTCTGAGCGGATGAGGAACAGCAGGCCACTTGCATCCCCCACACGACCGAGCATGTCGGTGTACTCGTGCCCGTGCTCAGTCGCCCTGCAGCAACGACAAGGGAAAGAGCAAACACCACAAAAGAGGTGGTCGATGGCTCATTCTTACTTGTAGAGTGGCTCGATGTCTGTGATGCGTTTGCCCGTCTTCCGCAGTATGGCGATCAGCTGAGCGGCGGAGGCGATCACAGAGGGGCTGGGGAGGCACCGCGCATCGCCATGCAGCAGCATCATTGGCTCCATCGCCAGGCCGTGTCTCTCCATCGCCGCCATGAGAGGTGCCTTGAGCCGTCGAGGCGCATATGGGGGGTCGACCACAGCTATGGGTGTGGCAGCGCGGATGCGGCCGGCAAAGTCGGTGGCGAGGGAATGGGCTGCTGTATCGGGTGGGAGGGAGGGGAGGTAGCGTGACAGCTGGCGCAGGGTGGCCTCCAGATTCATGACCATCAGCAGCCTCTGCTGCTGGCCTTCTGTCTGCATCAGCGCCTCGAGCCGGTCGGCAGTCGACGAGTAGGCAAACGCCGCCTTACGCAACTGATTTACAGAGGAACAATGAAGGAAAGCAGATAGTGCGCCACAGCCAGCATCATTGCTGTCCTCATGCGCATCTGCCCAGATTTGTGGCCTTACTTACCGCTGCGATGTGATGTGAGGCCATGAGGAGCTCCACTCGTTCGTCGTCTACTACACTATAGCTGAACATCTGATGCGCACCAGCCGTCAAGACGTAACGCGCTCCTGCGTCCATGGCGTGGATGGCTATCCGCAGGGGCGCAAAACGACGCTGCATCGCTGCCTTGAGGGCATCCAGGTGGGGGCGCTGGGGCAGGACCACAGTCAGTTGAGAGATGGACTCGATCTCGAGGGCCGACCAGATGCTCGACAGAACGAAGGTGCCCAGATGGACCACAGCGGCAGACGGCACTGCAACAACCGAGACACGGAGACACAGAGACGCTCGAGGGGAGGTGTATGAGCGCATTCTTCTCCATCTCTTTGCCACTTACCGTCTAGGTGCATGACTAGCTTCTTGATGCTAGGCAGGTCGTCCTTGTAATCCCCCAGTGTGATGCCCTCCCTCTCGTCCTCAGCCTTGATGAGCTCACGGCCACCCTCGGACACAAAACCCAACGACACGCGATCGATCTCACCACAGCCTCTGCTAGTGAGGACCTGGCGCGCAGCTGTCTCACTGCCGGACATGGCGAGCTCGTCCAGCGAGGTCATGTGTGGTCTCATGAGTGCCGCCAGGCGGATGGCGATGTCCCCTTTGGCAGTGAGTGTCTGCACCCTCCCCAGCCGTCCGTCGAAGGGCAGCACAGGCAGCTGCCGCCCTGGGCCATCTCCTGCCGTCAGGGAGGCGAGCTGCACCCGGCTCGGCATCTGCGATGCCCGAATGCCGTTGAGCAGGTCCAGGACGTCTGCCGGCGCCATGTCCATCAGCTGCAGGTTGCCGAGATGCGCCCCCTTGCTCAGCAGCATCTTGGCCACGCCCAGGCCGATGCGGCTCTTGACGGTCAGACTTCTCACTGGGAAGAGGCCGTGGGCTTTGACTGCGTCGAGCTCGGGGGGCTCAGGCGGGACGGAATCGGGTGGCGGGGCCGATCCGTCCGCACACTCGATGGAAATGCTGCAGCATCCAGGCGGGCACCACGATGGGACCCACAGCTGATCCGCCAGGCTGTGAGCGATAGGGCCGTTCTGTGGGAGGACGACCTGGTCCTGCGTGACCATCCAGACGTAGCGGCATCGGGAGAGGCTCGAGCCACGCGCCTCGATTCTCGGGCAGAGGAGATTGCTGTCCGAGCTGCCACGCCGTACACCGTATGTCTGGAGCAGCGCACAGACGAGTGGGGAGCCGCAGGGGGGCAGCTGGCTGAAATCGAACCGGGTGTAGGCCAGCAGGTGGCGGAGGGGGACCTCTCGCACCTCCTCGCCGTCGGCAAGGGGCAGAATGAAGATGCAGACCTTGCCCGAGGGTGAGCAGATCGCGTCGATGAATGTGGCGAGGGCCTTGAATGTGGCATAGTCGTTGAGGATCAGCGAATGACAGTCGTTGCGATGCACCACCACACTCAGGAGATCCAGAGACTTCGAGCAGCCTCGATCCACTAAACACCTCTGAAAGCAGAAAGAACACAATAAACCGAGCCAAGAAGGCGTCAATGCCGTGGCTGGCCCTCGTCAGCTTTCTGTGTGTCCCCTGCTGTCTTTCTTTCTGTGTCACCCACCTGGAGGTCCCGAAGGCCGTCTATAAGATCAGCCGATTCGATATCGAAGAGCTTGATGAAGCTGATCGTCCGCAGCTTCGCCAGAGGCCCCTGGCTGCCCCGCTGCCCCACTGGAATAGACCCGATCAGCTCCGCCAGCCGTGATGCCCCGGCAGGCCCCCGTTCAGGTACACCAGGGACCTCGCCGTGGCAACGAACGGCCTGATGGGCGCTATCTCGCCGGACACGTATAATGCAGACACGTACTTGACAGCCGGTGTCGCCCATCCCCGCCCATCGATGACCGAGTTGGCGGTGTGGACCCCGCTGGCCTCGGTGAGTGCCGGCAGGTTGATGGTTTGGGATGGGGCGGCAGCTGGGGGATCGGCATTGGTGTTGTCCAGCTGGTTGATCTCGTCTCGTCCGGTGTTGGGGTACACCACCGCCTCGAAGCTCAGAGACTTGAGCGAGCCCTCGGGCATGCCGGTGGCTGGCCCCTCCTTATCGCGCGCCGCCTGTCGTCCCGCCGCATGGCCCTCCACCAGCGCGATGACGATCCCGCGGCACCACCCAAATGCACTGACAAAGTGGCCAGCAGGGACCCCATCTGCCCCATCAGGTGTCCGCGGAATCCGATGGACGAGACACTTGAGGTTGACCATCTGTTGGCCGAGCTCATAGGCCGTCTGCGGCGCCATGCTGCTCCAGAATCTCCGCTGCCGAGTGTTGCTGGAGTCGATGACGAGCTCGGTGTGGTGCTGCAGGACGACGCCGCTGAGTGGGGAGGGCAGGGGCGGCTTCAGACACCATACGGGATTCACCAACGCATAGACGCCGATGTGCAGCTCCCGAGGCTGCACACATATAGACGGCAGACACAAAGGAATGAAGGCATCTGCCACCTCCGCTTGAGCCATCTGTTTGTGGTTGCATTCCTACGTACCACAGAGATGCCCGACCAGCCCTGCATCCGAATGGCCTGTCGTTCAGCAGCACCCACACGAACCAAAGACGGACGACTGTACACACCCATTGGATCATGCTGCTTGTGATCATGTACCTTGAAAACGGCAGCGGCAGCCTCACTGTCCTCCGCACCGCCATCAGCGGCATCATCGCCATCAGCAGACGACGAAGCGGCTTCAGCGCGGCCACCACTACCTGCAGGAAATGAGATGCATCGACAGCAGCAGAAGAATGCACCATCAATGGCCTTCCTACCTTGCTGCCGGGCGACTGGCCGCCAGATCTGCCGCTTGCGAGCCATGCCTAAGCGTCAATAGCGATAGCTACCACGACGTCTACAAAGCATCGTCAGGGAAAAAACGGCGAGGAAAACGGCCAGGGCCGATCTGTGCGAGCTCTCGGCCAGGAAAACGAGAAACAGAGAAGGCAAACGAGAAGCAAGGCGGGCCTCTCGAAGCAGAGCAGCGGCAACCTTCTGCTTTTCGCGTATCTGCTCGAATCTTCGGGTCATCGCTCTCCAGGTGAGGCAACGAGCAGCAAACGAGAGGGTGATCTGCACAGGAGAAGAAGCAGCAGCACGAGAGCAGCCAGTATGTAACAATCAACTCATCCGTTGCTTTGTGTGTTGTCTTGTGTTGTGTTTGTCAGATGAAGCGTGGCTTCCTCCTGCCGAAGGCGGAGCAGAGCGCTGCAGCCGCCGCATCGACTGCCGAGGAGTCAGTCATTCCTCAGCGGAAACGAAAGGTACAACACACAATGACGTTCCTGAAATGCCCACAACTGACCAAGTGCTCTGTCTGTGTTCATTCAGGCGAGGCCTCCTCCTCGTGTGTCTGCGGACATCAAACGGCAGTATCCGCACCTCGAGCACGCCTGTGGCCGGCCACTCCTTCTGCTGCAAGCATCACTCGGCCCCTCACTCTTCCTCACGCCCTCCCCTGCCAAGGCCCGGTGTCTGGTCATCGACTGCGCCCACAGAAACACCCGCCGTATGTGGGAAGCGGTCTCGCTCGAGGTCGCATATCAGTGGGGCATGGCTGCCAGGACCCTCGAGAAGCTGGTGGTCCGCTATCCAAAGCCAGCGGTGTCGCGGCGGAAGCGCAGCAAGGCACCGGTTTGGTCTATGGGCGTGTGGATGGCGATATTGGAGGGGCATGCACACGGGCGGCAGCGGGCCGTTGCCGTGAAGAACAAGACAGACAAGAAGGGCAAGGGCGAGATGGAGGCGATCGGCAGCGGCAGCAGCTCTCAAGCGGCGTCAGTGGCAGCTTCCGATGGGTCGCTGCGGGTGCTGGAGTTCGAGGCGGTGGACACTGAAGGGCCGCAGGAGTGGGAGAGAGGAGACGGTGGTGTGGCCGCCCCCTCTTCGACACCCCTCCTTCCCAAGACTGACGGTGGTCTCCCTCCCCGCATCCTTCCCGTCCACCTGCCGGCCCTCACAGAGGTCCGCAACATGCCCGTCGACGTCGCTGCTTGGCGCATGTACCGCTCGTGGTGCGATCGATCAACACACGCCCACGAGAGTGAGGGATTAGGCGTCCCTGGTGTGTGTGTGTGTGTGTCTGCAGGCATTCCCCTGGCATTCGAGTCCTCACCTTCACCACACATCCCAGGTCATCTTGTCTGAAGGAGTACATCGGCGCTGAGTGGGTGCGGGGCTGCACGGGCCTGGAGGCGCTGGTGTGCGACGACCGCGTGAACGGCGACGGTGGGCTGATACTGGCCATGCTGGCTGAGCTGCCTGCAGACGGCAAGTCGTTGGAAGGTCTGCGAGAGCTCGGCAACATTCACCTGTATGGGGTCGAAGGGGACGAGATTCAGCAACTGCAGCATGCTCTCACCTTGCGGGGCTGCAAAAAGAAGCTGGCCAAGCTACGCATCGACACGGGCACGATACTGCGCATGGAAAGCGACGTCGACAGCCTGACAATGCTCGACCATCTGGTGTAAGCAAGCAGGACAGAGGAGGCAACAAAAGGGCTGCACGATTGTCTGTGTGTCTCGTATCCCATCAGGACGGCTGTCGTTGACCCAGAGGCGCTGCTGACCGGCGGTGTCGAGTGGGCTGAGCTTCGTGAAGACGATCTGGATGCGGAGCTGTCGGTCGAGCTGCTCTCGTGGGCGCGGGCTAAGTCCCCGTTCCTGAAGCGCCACGTGGAGGAGCTCGCCCGCATCGTCCCCCGCGTCACCTATCATGGCCTACCCGAACCGCACCACCCGGCCGCTACCGCCATGACACCATCGACCTTCCCCCGAGCCGACTGCTTTCACCTGGCTGCCGAGTCGCTGACGCGCTACACGATGCAACGCGTCGTGTCTGTCGCGAAGGCAATCGGCAAGACCTACATCCGCGTGTCTGGGGAGGAAGGGGAAGATGCGGCTCCCGTGGGATTGGCTGTCGAGTTCCTCAAGGCACTGCAGACAGCCCGGCTCAACGAGGGCAGCGAGGCCCCACTGGACGTCTTGCATTTTGTGTCGCTGGGCGGCGAGGACGTGGGATCCTTATGGGAGACGCACGCCGCCGAAGTGTCCCCAATCAGATGCCTGGAGCTGTGGATTACCGGTAGGTACAGATACGTGGCTATGGAGAGGGTCTTGTGCATGTGTGTGGATGTGCGCCGCTCAGATACGATTCCACCGGGCGCCTCAGACAACGAGCGTCGGGCCTTCATCGAGACCGTCAGCAAGGACCTCCTGGCGATGCTCAAGGCGTCCACCCGCCTCGGTGGCCATCGAGAGACGGACGTCCGCTTCTTCAGCCTCCATGGAGATGTACGTGAGTACTTTGCGCGGCACCACCTGTCAGACGACTTCGACGAGACGCCTTACACATTCACCTTCGATGGCACGTCACTGAGCCTGCGCAGGCGCAGGTGGGGAAGCGAAGGCCGGAGGGAAGGATGATTCATTGTCTTAATTGCCTCCTTCTGTTCAGGAGAGGCGTCTGATGGAGAGCCATTGTTTGGTGCGTGCATGCCCTATGCTCGAGCCATGAATGTTCGTGTCGAGTCGACATACTGACTGCTGCAGACAAGACAGTCTGCATCCATTCTATTAGCTATCTATTGAGCACGTGCCACCCACTCACTGGCCCGGCCCCCACCACCACACAGCCCAACAATCACCTTTGCCGCCTCGCTGGCCCCGTCCTCCAGCCGCACTTGCATCCCTACCGACTCGATGGCTGCACGCCTCTCGGGCGGCACCACACACACGCTCCCATCATGGGATCGACCCAACAGCTGGCCCAGCAGCCCACTTAGGCACGCTGCGGCCTCGACAACGGAGGTCCCCTCCAGCAGTGAGAGGAAGACAGAGCCATCAACCTGAGTGACACGGACAGACATGACCCCACACCTCGCTTGCCGCATCTCTCTCTGTGCGTGTGTCTTGTCTTTGTGGTTTGGCACCTACCGCGACATTGAGATCCACAAGCCGCTTGCACCACACCTGACACACACACACACACACACACGACTCATGCGGGGCTTTCGTTGACGTATTCTGTTCTGTTGACCTGCTGATCGAACATGAAAGGGCAGACTATCTGGGGGATGCCGGCACGACAGACAGCGGCCACCGTGCCCCCGCCACCGTGCGTGACGGCCGCCACACATGAGGGATGGCCGAGAAGACGCGACAGGTCCACCACACCAGAGAGGCGGCTGACGCCCTCGAACACCGACAGTGTGGTAGCGGCGTCGTCTGGTGAGCCGTCGGCATCCAGACTCGCAACCGGCACATGGTACACAAACCTTCACACACACACACACACACACACAGAGATGCCAGGCCACAATGAGTCCGAGTGAGTCCCTCTCCCCTTCTGTTGTCCCATCCATCGCCTCTCACAAGCCCACCCCACCTGAGTGCAGTGGTGCGATGGACAGCCTCCAGCACCTGCCCCACACACCGCCACGAGAAGTGGCATGCGCCGATGGCGGGCATGCTGCCGAAACACACCCACACAAACGGCTTCTCGGGCAAGCTGAGGGGCGGCACGATGGTGCTCGATGCATCAGGCAGGGTGGCGTCGGCAGCTGCGGAGCCGACTACACGGACAGAGGGGGGCCAGTCGGCAGGGACAGCGAACAATGCGGGGCTGCAGCAAATGGGAGAGCGGGGCCCTTTGTGTGTGTGTGTGTGTGTAGGCGGGAAGGGTCGCCATGCCATGTGTTTACCTAAGTAGGTAGAGAACAGTTGCTGCATGCGGCAGCGCATCATCACCATCACCGTCATCACCAAATATGCTCTCGGGCATCCCCAGGACCTCCAGCCTCAGCTTGCCGTGGTCGTCCATACAAAGACGCCACATCCAGTGCCTCAACGAACGAACGAACGAATCAACACACACACAATCCACTCCACACACACACACGCAGCTGCTGACCCATGGTCTGTCTCATTTGCTCTGCTCAAACCTGAGGTCTGCCAGAGTCATCAAAGTCATATTGCCGCCCTCGGCTCGTTCCAGCCGCTCATAGATCTCCCTCCCATACTCGTCCCTGAAGGCAGCCGTGAAGCCCTCCGGCATCTCGCGAGGCGCCAAACACGGCGACAGCACCACAGCCGCACACCGATTCCCTCGCCGGTTCTCCCGCTGCACTGCGTGCCAACAGAAGAGGGCGAAATAGTTGAAGCCCACCACCCTCCTGCCCTCGCACAGCCTCGCCAGTACGGCCGCCTCCTCAGCTGAACAGAACAAAGCGTCAGCCGTTGGCCGGAGAGGGGAGCTGTCGATGCCCTCGAGAGTTAGCAGCAGCCGACTGGTCCGCTTATCATCATGTGACTCATCCGTGTGGGCTGCCGATCTCTCTGTTGGCTGCAGGTGCCTTAGAAGGGATGAGTGCGTCACGAAGAGGACAGGCAGTGAGCGGCTGACGGCCCGCGCCACGGAATACAGCGGGAGGACATCTCCGAAAGTGCCGAGGGCTGCAACCAGCACTGGTGGTGGACGCTCCGCATTGTTAGATGCCTCCATCAGAAAAGAGGGGAGATCTGCAGCACAAAGCTCGCGCCGTGTTTCCCAGAGCTCGCGTGGTGAACGGCGATTTTGCCATCTCACGCCGCCTGTCCGCCGTGTCCCTTGTCTGCGAGTGAGCGTCTGTGGCGGCCCTGCCTGTCCGCCGCTCCCGTGTCGGGTTTTCTATAGCGTAGAGCAGCGAGCGTAGCGTAGCTCAGTGGCGTTTGTGTGGACTGACTGTCCAGCGGCGTGTTGGTTGGTTGTCTCATTCGTGTGAGCCGAGCCGGCGGCAGCCATGACGTGGGGATTCTCCAACGGCGAACTCAAGGTGTACCAGCCGGTGGGCAAACAGAGCTGGGGCGCCGAGTGAGGGAGGGGAAGCAGACAGACAGACAGACAGACAGACAGGCGAGAGGGAGGGAGGGAGAGAGGGAGAGGAAGGCAGATAAGATCAGATCTGACCTCGGGCTGCCTGGCCCTGCCCACGAAGCATGTGTCCATTGTGCTGTCTGTCGGTTGGGTATGTGTGATGTGATCTCATATATCAGCACCAGCCGACGCACTGTGTGGCGAAGCGGGTGTTCATGGGAGCGGACACGCCCCAGCACGCGCCGCGGTACGCCGAGCCCGGCGAGAAATTCTACAAACTCAGGGCCGAAACCCAGTGGTACTACTGGGGTAAGCAGCCACACACATGGACACACACACACACACACACACACACAGACAAATGCGGCAAAACACGAAGGCACCCACGCAATTGTCCAATTTTGCCTGTCTGTGTGTGGTTGTGTTGTGTTGTGTCTCACACAACTCTCAGTTGAGGATTACACTGGTGTGTCGTTCACCATCCGCAAGGAGGAGCAGCAGGAGGAGGGCAGTGGTTCGGTGGCCGAGCTGCTGACCCCCCTGGCGGCCTCCCAGACCAAGTGGGACATCTCCCCGCCCGTCACCGAGCCCCCTCCCCCCGCTCCCAGGGAACAAGAAGACGACAACAACCAGCCTGACACTGAGGCACCGCAACTCACCACAGAGACCAACAACACCACCAAGGACGACGGCACCGACAAGAAGGAGTCGGCACCCACACCCGCACCGGCCCCTGCGCCGTCCACAGAGCAGCATGCGTCCGAGAGGCACCACCATAAGGGCGAGACGGACAGCACTGCGGCGGTGCTGCAAGACGACGGACCCGACGATGACGAGCAGGACGACAACCATCACCACCACCACCAGCAGCAGCAGCAGGGGGAGGTCATCGCACCGAAGGACACCTGCCCCAGCCCCAGCCCCCCCACCACCACCAAGCCAGAGGAGCCGACCACCACCATCACACAGGGCGGCAACCAGCACACAACCAAGGCCGACACCGCCACACCATCACCCTCCCCATCCCCACCGGCACCAGTGGTGACGGCCAACGCCGCCGCCCCGATCGTCAAGGCCGAGTGTGCGGCGGGCGGCTGCGGTGAGCAGGGGCAGGACAACAAGGCGGGGGAGGGGGAGGGCAAGGGGGCTGGGGAGGGGCAGGTCGTCGGCGCCGTCAAGGAGGTCACGCCATCGGCCTCCCCTTCGTCGGCAGCCAAGGCGGCCAAGGCCACCCAGGGCCCTGTGGGCGGTAGCGAGAGGAGTGCGGACGCGTCGACGACTGACGTTGAGGAGCACGAAGCCATGCTGGCACACAAGCAGGCTGCCGCCGTGGCCACGGCGGCGGCAGGGGAGGGAGAGGGGGGTGAGGAGGAAAAGGAGGACGTCAGCGGCACCGAGGCCGCCGCGTAGATATAGATAGACCACACACACCACACATACTCACTCCCTCACTGGGGCGAGGCGAGAGAGGGAGAGAGAAACAGATAGAGAGAGAGAGAGCGTGTGTAGATGGATGTCTGGATGTCACACCTGTGTTGTGTTGTGAGTGTGCAAAGCACGCGCGCCGGCCGCGCAGGCAGGCAGGCAGGCACACGACGGACGCTGGTGTGTGCCCTTCGGTGCGGCGCCTGGCGTGCTGGTATATCGCTATATAGATATGCCATATGTCTGTTGGCTGCTGCTGGTGCTGCTGCTTGATGAGAGAGAGGCTGTGTATACAATTGATGAGAGTGTTCCATAGAGGGAGGGAGGGAGGGAGGGAGAGGGACAGGAGGGACAGGAGGGCGGGGCGTCTGGTGCACGCGCACGAGTGCATCTGTGTATGGGTGCATGTGTGTGCACAGGGTATGTAACTAACATACCCTCCCTGGCCGACTGACTGACTGAGTGAGTGATAGTTGCCTGCCTGCCTGCCGAGTGTGAGAGGGGAGTGGAGGTGCGGTGATGTCAATAATATTGAGAGGAGGAAGGCGATAGATAGATAGCCAGGCAGAGAGGAGGGAGGGACGAATGACGGAGGAGGAAGGGAAGGAGGACGAATGGGCGTTTTCTACAGACAGACAGCCACGGGGCCGCCCGTCACAAAGGAAAGGACTCCAGGGGCGGCTCGGGCTGGACGACTGACTCGCCTTCTCGCCTTCTGTATCTAAACCTATGCATATGGCCTGTAGGTATTTGTAGGTCTTGTCGATGGAATCGAATGCGCCCGCCTGACTGGTTGTTGTCCGAGAGTGATGGTGCTATCTGGTGGTGTTGCCGTGTGTTGCCTTGTGCTGTCTGTCTTGTCTTGTGCTGTCTGTCTTTGACGAGCTATGCCATTCTCTCATCCTCCTTTATAGGACCTCCATGGCATCCATCCTTTCCGCTGCTATGCTGCCTGCTATGGTTTTCCCCAGCGCAAGCATAGCAAGGCAATTCACCAGTCAGGTCGATCCCTCTGCGTTAAGACGGTTTCTCTATGCTATGACGAATGAGTGAGTGGTTGTCAATAGGTGGCGTGATTCTCTCTCTCTCTCTCTCTCTCTCTCTGGCTGGCTTACTGCCTGCCTGTGTGGCTTCCTGCGCGGTCAATCGTTTAAGTTGTTTCGCTTTGCATGGCTGGCTGGCTGGCTGGCTGGCTGCTGGGCAGGGTCGGAGCCTGATGTGATTGATGCCTTCCGTCACACAGAGCATTGCACATCACACCACAACACAACACAACACAGCGTTCTTACAGCCTGCCTGCCCGGCTGCCTGTCTACACACATTTGTTGGTATCTATCGTGTCTGTCTCTGTCTGTCTGTATAATTGCATACCCTTCATCATATCATCCAATGGCATTGTCTATCTAATCGTGTGCGTGCGAGTATCCCCACACACCGTCGACCGACCAATTCGACTGCCTGCCTGCCGGGCTGGCTGGCTGGCTGGCTGGCTCGTCTGGCGCCACAAACCAAGTCATTTTTGGTCTGCCTCCAGGCCGGCCTGGTCCATGATCCAGGCAGGCCTATGTCCGCCTGTCTGCCTGTCTGCCTGTCTGTCTGTCCAGCCCTGCCTGCTCGTCTGGATGGATGGATTCATTGCGTGCATTTTAATCGAGAGAGACGGGATGGGGTCCCAGGGAGGGCTGCCTGGCTGGCTGGCTGGCTGCATGGTGTCTGTCGTTTAAACCGGCCCACCACCGCGTACGTATCTATGATCTGTCTGTCCATAGCTATCCTATCTCATGGCCTGGCGTTGTTTACCTTTTTCCCACACAGACACACAGGGCTTGAAAGGAAGGGCTGGGCAGCCCAGGTTTGTCAAGGTAAGGTGGTGGATAAGATAGATAGCATTCGGTGTCACCGCTGGGTGCGTTTGTGTGTCTGTCTGCATCACACCACACCACATCACATCACATGGCACACCTGCATGTAGCTCCTGACTGACTCTATCTGTGTGTGCGTGCAGTCACTCGCTTGCCTTGCCTTCTCCGCCTCTCTCTCTCTCTCTCTTGACATCGCGCGTATGTCAGTTTTGACCCCATCTCTCTCTCTCTCTCTATCTCTCCAGCTGTCTGTCTGTCTGTCTGTCTGTCGTCCTACATGGTGCATGCCATGCCTTCATCGGTGCATGACATGACGCGTCAGTGAAAGAGAGAGGAGATAGCTTTATAGCAGCACGTGATGAATTCGGTCCTCTCGTTTTGTGTTCGTGTCAGTCATGGGTGCCTGCCTGCCTGCTTGACATCTCACTCATCTCTTCATTCAGTTTAATACTCGCGAGCGATATCAGAAAAGCCTTGCCGGGCCAGTAGGCACATAGATCACACAGACAGACAGACAGACAGAGCAACGACGAGCGGATGATGAACGACGAGAGAGCGAAGTGCTTTCGAATGTGTGGCTGGATGGATGGATGGTCGTGAATGAGTGAATGACATGACTAGGGGGCGGGGGGGTCATATCCACACACAGACAGACAGACAAGTGGAAGGACCAATGCGTTCGTTGGTGGAGCAGTGAGTGAACCGCTAGCTGACGGAGCCACGGAAGAATAAATAGCACACGAATTGAATTAGATGGGTATATGGGTCCACACGCACACGCCGACACACAGGGACTGACAACGGACAAAGCGCGCAAAAACAAGACACTGTGTGTGCATCTACCAACCAACCACACCAACCGCACCACCCACACACGATCTACCGTCCGTCACCGCTCCTTCTTTCTCTCTTGCTGCTGCCTTTTGTGGCTGACATCTGTGTCACCACCAGCATCAGCACTAGCATCAGCAGTCTTTTCATCCTCGTCTGCTGTCGGCACCTCATCCGGCAGCAGCATCAGGAAGCAGCACCCACCCACAACCATCACCACCACAGCGGCCGCACCCAACACCACCAACAGATTCAGCACGCTCTCGCTCGCAAAGGCTATCGTCCCGTTAGCCATGCGTCTGGCGCCCTTGACCATTCTGGTGGGCATCCCCCACAGCCCCTCATACTGCCTCGCCAGCTGCCCCTTCAGCAGCCGATCCAGCCCTTCCGGCAGCGAGTCGATCGTGAGCAGAGTGTCGTCCTCGTAGAAAGCCTCTTTCTCCGCGTCAATGACGACCACCTTGGGCAGCCGCGCAGCGTCGACACTGAAGGCTTCGAGTGACTCGCCCCACTGCACGCCATTGACATACCCGAAGAAGAAGTCGTTCTTGTGTCGTTTGGCCGCGGCCTGGAGGGCCTTCAGGTGGGTGTGAGCTGAGGGGGTGTCTGGGTCGATGGCCAGCACAACAGTCCGCCGGCCCGCGTGTGTGAGGTCGAAGAAGTTGTCCCGGCCCATCTCGCTGACCAGGGGAAACCGATGCGCCTTGAGCCACGTCTGCAGCCACGCCAGAGTCTCGCTCTCGCTCTCGCCGCCCTGAGGCTCGCCGACATCCAAGCGCACCATCTGGCCCATGTCGGCCGCGGCAAACACGTCTGGGTCCACCCCTTCCCCGACGCTTGTGAGCAGGAACACTTTGTCCGAGAAGGACTGCCGCTTCTCCCTCACTGTCGGGGGCGCCGCGTCGATCCACACGTCGAGAGAATACGTGACAGCGAAGAAGTGCCGATCTCTGTACTCGACGGCCAGATGGAGGTAGGCCAGGGGGACGAGATGACCAGCACTACTCGGGGAATGAGGGATGAAGAGCAGACAGCCCACTGCTGAAGGGTCGAAGTCGTGGTGGTACGTGGTGAGGGCGGCCACCGAGTCCACGGCCTTCACAGGGGGCTGGATCATCCTCTCGCAATACGCCACCAGGCTGTCGGCCTGCCGTCTGCCCCGGTAGCTCCGCGGCGGCATGCCGTCTCGAAAGAACTTGACGGCTGGATACCCCTTGATGCCGTATCGGCCACACAGCTTGCTCTCCTTTGAGCAGTCCACTTTGCCCAGCTGCACAGGGGTCTCCTCCCTCGCCATGGTCTCGGCCGCCTGCTCGAACTCGGGCATCAGACGCTTGCAGTGACCGCACCATGGCGCGTAGAACTCTGGTCAAAAGTGGTATAGATCACACATCTCTTCTCACACAGATCTCGTGAGTGATGTGTACCGATGAGCCAGTCGCTTTCGCGCAGTTTGGCGTCGAAGTTGCTGCCGTGAAGCGTCGCCACTCGCTCGGGCATTGGTGGTGCTGCTGCTGATGCTTTGCTGAGGTCATGCTGCTGCGATGCTGCCGCTGCGCCAATCATCCACAGTGGCCACAGGGCGGCGAGCAAAATGACTTCGCTCGCCGCCATAGAAGCTGTCAAGGGGATCACCAGCAGTCCAGCTCCCCGAATAACTGCAGGGTTCGGTTTACAGGGTTTGTGGAAACCCTGAACCACAAACCCTTCACCAATGAACTCTTGCGTGTTCAGGGATGATATCGATTGGCAGTTGGTAGTAATAACTTGATAGGCGAGACGCAATCAACAGCTATACACAAAGAGTTAAGCTACAATGGACAGATGCGTCCGTACACACACAGATTCGCACACACACACAAAACACACGACAGACAATCAGTACACTCACCTCTCCCTCAGCTTTTCCCTATGCACGCTCGTCTCGGCAGACTGAGTGTTCTTCGCTTTGGCTGGTGTGGTCCTTCTTCGGCCTTTCCTCCCACAGCACCCAGGCAGACCAGATCACATTCAGCAGGAACCCCATAAAGCCTATGTCGCCTTCATCCCAACGAGGCATCCGGGGTGATGAGAGAAAGGGATAATGAAGTCCGTCTGCTTGTCGATGAACCAGACCATTGGTATCTTGATCACAAAGACGCCAAGCGTAAGCTGGAAGATGATAGCGGCTGGCGTGGAACTGGTTCTGGCGACGCATAGCCTCCGGGCCGGTCATTCACACTAGAGAGTCACCAGGGGGGCATCAGAAGAAAAACGCCCAGGGGCCAGGCATGAGCCTCATCATGCGCAGTCTTATCTCGTCGTCCTCGCTAAGCTCACGCCGAGCTTCGTACGTACGCACACAAGGGGAATACATAAGATGCGATTCCATCCATCCAGGGCATCCAGCCATGTGTACATACTCACTGCCTAAGGCCTCTCTCTCTCTCTCTCTGCCCCTCTCCCTCCCTGGCTCACTTGGTGCTGGTGTTGGAGGTGGCTTGGTGAGTTTGAAGATGATGGGGGCGGCAGCGGTGCCGACGCCTTCTGCCAGCGTGTCCTTCAGAGTGGCGCCCAGCTTCACCGCCGTGCCGTCAGTCTTGGTGAGCTTGGAATCACTGTCGACGCCGATCTTCTCATCGACAGCGTAGTCCTCCCGGGCTCGTTCCAGGACGTCGATGAGCTGGTCCTCGGCACGAAGCTAGTATCTGAAGATCGAGTCTTTCTTCTCCCCGTTGATTTCGATCCCGACGAATACACTGAACAACTTCTTCGCATCATCGGCCGCCGCACTGGGCTCGTCAGCCGGGAGGGAGGGCCGACCTGAGCTCTGCAGCCTCAGCAGATGACGTCTGGCAGTGGCGGTGGCGGTGGGGCCGACGAACGGGATGGCGGTGCTTCGAGTTTGTTTAGGGTTGAACCCTAATTCCTAAACCCTGCGTCGGCAGGTGAGTTTTTCCTCCGCCCACTCACGGCCGTGTGAGAACGTGTTGCCAATGAAGTGAATTCTCGGTATGGATGCGTGGAGAGCAGGCACGCCTGTGACAGGATTGAGATCTCGTATAGGGTTTTTAGGGCTTAGGGTTCGCGCCGGACCAGGGTAGACAAGAACTCACCCATACCGCTGGTCAGCTATGTCACGCTATTACACAGACACACATGCACACACATATGCAGACGTCCCTGTCTCCTTCTCTCTCCCTCTTTCTCTCAGCTACTAGGTAGACGAACAAGACGTCCATCCACACACATAGCGAAGAACACACACGCACACACGCACACACACACACCACACACACACCTGACTTCATTTCTCATTCAACCTCTTCGAACGAATCGACTTCTCAAAACAGCTGCACAGTGGGCACTGAGGTCAGAGAGAGAGACAGAGAGAGAGAGACACGTGCCCCTCCCTACATAGGTCTGCACATGCATGGGCGGCACCGGCCTCCTCTACACACACCGCACCACACCCTGACTGACTGACACGCGGCCACCACTTGATAAAGACAGACAAAGCATCAAATAAACCACACACCAACATCGCAACACATCGCAACACACCCACACTTCCCCCATCCATCCATCCATTGATCCATCCATTTATCCATCAGGGCAGGCCCCCGTGTGTGCGGCCGTTGGTCGCCGCCATGCCGTCATGGGCAGCCGAGGGCACCTCTCGCGACACATAGCTGACAATCGGCCGATAGGACATAGTGTGGTACACCTTCCTGCCGCTGCTGCCATTGATGGTGCGGTTGGCGGCGGGGACGGTGGGAGATGGCCGCACACACAGACACACTGACACCCACAGAGAGAGAGAGAGAGAGTCTGTCTGCCTGCCTGCCTGTTTTGTTGTTTGTGTACCGATTATGAGTGCAAAGACGCCGATGAGCAGAGCGATCCAGACGCCCTCTTGAGGCAGCACACCGACACGGCTGGGGGCAGTGGGCCGGTCCTGGTAGGACGGGCAGTGCGCCTCAACGAAGCCCACGAGCTGCCTCTGCTTGTCGACGATGACCTCGTGGCCGACCATGAAGGACATGCCTAAAACCGCCGACTGCCGGCGATTGTCGTCCACTGCCAGGCACCAGATGCTGCACACACACACAGTCAGACACAGAGAGAGAGAGTGAGATTGGGCGTGTGTCAGGTGTGTGTGTGTGTGCGTGCTGCTTGTGCTGCTTACTGGTCGCTGCCGCGTGCGTGAAGGTAGGAGGTCGGCCGCCATGGCACCTTGCCGCCCCTACAAGCAATCCCCACGCACATGATCCATCCATCCATCCATTTGTGCGACTCCCCTCCCTCCCTGCCTCCCTCCCTCTGAGGCTCCCTCACTTGAACTGCAGATGGATGGTGGGGAAGAGCTCAGCCGTGCTCCTCCCGCCCTTGAGCGACCAACACATGTCCCCGCCACTTGGTCCTCCTGCTGTGTCCCCTCCAGTGTTGTCAGCGGCCACGCCCTCATTCACCGAGGAGTGCAGCCGCCGACAGCCAGGGATGGGCCCAACCCCACTGTGGCTGCTGCTGGTGGTGGTGGCGGTGGTAGAGAGGGGCGGTGGCGAGATGAAGGTGCCGTCTTTGTCATTATCGGTGTGGTGTGTCTGCTGGTGCCTGATGGTGTCGGTGAGGGGGCTGCTGCCGCGGAGGTTGTTGCCGCCGCTGTCTGGCGGGCAGAGAGAGAGGAAAAGCGCACGGAATGACGGCCACACCGACTTGGGCAGATACGTGTAGGTGGTGCCTATACAGGGCATCCCACCCACCCACCCACACAAACACAAACACAAACACATCCCCCACACACACACACAGAGTCAGTAACAGATAATGGATGTCATGTGCACTCTCTCTCTCTCTCTTTCTCTCTCTCCGACCCACCCGAGTCGACGATGGCCTGCACCCATTCCTCAGTTCCCCATCCAAGCCGGACATCGCCCACCCAGCCCCCCTGGATCGTCACCGCATAGTACACTGACGGCACCATACTCGTCCACACACCCTCACCACCACCAAACTCAGAGGAGGAATTGCCGCTCCACCCCCCCACCGTCAGCAAACCTCCCTCTTCAGCCAGACAGATGCTGAAGGCCCGACGCGGCACTGTCATGGTGTCGAAGATGGCGTCGAGGAAGGTGGGATGGTCGCTCTGGCGGCGTGATGCGATGCCCAGGATGCCCGAGGCCTTCTGGGTGCGGAAGAGCTTGTTCTCCTCTGAGTGGCACCCGGCGAAGGCTTTGACGGGGGGGTTGTCCTGCTGGCGGTCGCCCAGCTGGATGAAGTCTGAGAACCAGTAGCCCACGATCTGGCTGCCCTCGGTGTAGCCCTGCCGGTAGCTGCAACGGCCGTGTCTGCAGGCGCTCGAAGGGCACCACTCCAGCGGCTCTCCTCCCTCTCTCCAAACCGACAAAGACGGCTCCCCCTGTGTGCCACCATCCTGGTGGTGACAGCTCTCCCATTCGGCCGATTGTGAGAGGCGAAAGTCGAATGGCGAGTCGATGTGGCTGCCGCAGTGGAGGCAGTTCTTGCAGGGGAAGGCGAGTATGGTGCTGCCGGTGTCCAAGATGACCGACTGCCGCTGCGGCACGGGGCTGCCGATGAGCAGGTCGAGGTAGTAGTACCCCGTGCCGTAGATGCCGCCATACAGCTGCGCGTACTGAACCCTCCCAGCGCCGCCTACGGTGGCACTGGTGGCAGGTGGAGGAGAGGGGGATGATGATGACCACTCGGACTCATTAGTATCCCCCACCGATAGCCCCCGATAATGGGCACTGGCTATCCTTCCCTCCAGCCCCCGTGTGTCTGCAGAGCTGCTGTCCTCGGTGGCTCCCCTCGGGCATCCCACTCGCCAGATCACAAGAATGGCCGTGAGGGTAGCGACCGCACAGGCCGCCTCAAGCCGACAGACGCCGCGAGATGGCTTCTCATCGGGAGGAGCGCTCGGGATGGGCTGAGGGGGTGGGGAGGGGGGCGGGATGCTGGGCATCATCTGTCGGCCTGTCGCTCAGTAGCCCTCACTGGGAAGGAACACAACACACACGCATATGGAACAGACAGACAACCGAAAGACGACCGTGGCAGGTCCGTTGCTTTGCTCGATATTTCTCGCTGATCTGTGCTTACCTAGTTCATGGCGTTGATCTGCCCATCCTCCACTCCCTGCCACCGCCGGACGGCCTCTCGAAAGGCAGCTGACAGTCAAACTTAGCGGCGGGTGCGGGAAGGCCACCAAAACTTGCCGAGGATTCTCTTCATTGTCGCACAACACGTCCTCACAGTGCCGTGAGGGACGGAGGAGAAAGTCACCTGGCGACGCAGGGTTTAGGATTCAACCCTAAAACCGAAATGTAACGCAGGCCCGACGAGTTTCCTCGCATAAACCGCACGGCATGATGGCATTCCTCCCCCTGTCGGCGATGGTCATGAGCCTGACTCTCAGTGTCGTCGGCAAGCCGACTCAGCCAAGACAGGACGCGTTTGTGTGCCTATCGTGAGTGGTTTGCCTGTTGCTGTGTGTGTGCCGTCAGGTGCCATCTGCCGCCTTCGTCCACCTCACTCGAACCATGCCAACCACTGCCAGACGTCATCTGCTGAGGCTGCAGACGACATCGAACCAGCCCTCTCTTCAGGCTGACGAGCACGGTGCGGCGGCCGATGACGCCAAAAAGGTCAGGGTGGTCATCGGGATCGAAATCAACGGGGAGAAGAAAGACAAGATCTTCCTCTACGAGCCGAGCGACGACGATCAGCTCCTCGACCTCATTGAACCGACCCGGAAGTACTTCGAAGTCGATCCGTCAGTGGCAGCCGACAATGATTATAAACTCACCAAGTGTGACGGGACGGCGGTGGACCTGGACGCCACTGTGAAGGACACGCTGGCAGATCGCGTCGGCACCCTTGCCGCCCCCATCATCTTCAAAGTCACCAAACCACCTCCAACACCAGCACCAACACCACCTCCAGCACCAGCACCAAGTGAGCCAGGGAGGGAGAGAGAGAGAGAGAGAGAGAGAGAGGGAGGCCTCAGGGAGTGAGTACGTCCACATGGATGGATGGAATCGCATCTTATGTATTTCCCTGTGTGTGTGCGTACGTACGAAGCTCGGCGTGATCTTAGCGAGGAGAAGGAGCTAACACTGCGGATGATGAGGCTCATGCCCGGCCCCTGGGCGTTTTTCTTCTGATGCCCCCCTGATGACTCTCTCGTGTGAATGGCCGGCCCGGAGGCTATGCGTCGCCAGAACCAGTTCCACGCCAGCCGCTATCATCTTCCAGCTCACGCTTGGCGTCTTTGTGATCAAGATACCAATGGTCTGGTTCATCGACAAGCAGACGGACTTCATTATCCCTTTCTCACATCAGCCCGGGCGGCCTTGTTGGGATGGAGGCCATATCGGCTTTATGTGGTTCCTGCTGAATGTGATCTGGTCTGCCTGGGTGATGTGGGAGGACAGGCCGAAGAAAAAGGATCACACCAAAGCGAAGAACACTCAGTCTGCTGAGACGAGTGAGGATGTGAAATAGCTGAGCGACAGAGAGAGGGAGAGAGGGAGGGAGGGAGGGAGGGGCGTGTGTCTACTGTTTGTCTGTCATGTATGTGTGTATTGTAGCTTAGTTGACAAGACATTTGTGTACAGCTGTCAGTGGCATGCCGCGTGTCACCTTATGATTCTGATGATTGAATCAATCATCATGACGGACAAGAGTGCGTTGCCATGGTTGATACGATCCTCCACCCAACACGTAAGCCCCATTGGTCAGCATCAATGGGGACTTGCACATGGACACACACATTCCCAAACACACACGTCGTTGCCCCTCCCCAGCCCAGCTGACCTCGCCCTCACAAGCAGCAGCGGCAGAAAAAAGGAAAGGCCCATCTATCCATCCATCCAACCACACTCACACACCAACACCACCCCACGCACTCACCCATTGGCTCGCTATGGTATGTTGAGGATCCTGCGGACCTCAGCTTTGAGTGCAAGATTGAGTCCGAGTGCGCTCCGCTCCTTGAGCGCCAGCACCCACCGCCTCTCCGCCGACCCCTCGGGCAAATCGGACTCGTTCAGAAAGCGACGCAGCACCGAACCCGAAATCTTCGCCTGCACACACAGAAACGTATACGCACAGACGACCGTCGCTGTGGGGGGGGGAACCTGTCTGATCTTCTCGGAGAGGGCGGCTGCTGCAGGTGAGCCCTGCTGCAGCCGGGCAGCCAGCTCGTCGACCGTCAGGCGGTCGGCGGCCTCGGTGGCCTCGGTGGCCAGCTGCTGATACACGCTATCATCAGCATCAGCAACAGAGACGCCCCCGTGTGTGTCTGCCTCGTCCGTGAGTTTCTTGATGAAGAGCTGCAGCCCGAGGAAGCAGCCGTCGGTGACTCTGAAGCTGCGCCTGAATTCGGTAGTAGTGCCAGTGCTCTGTGCGTCGGGCGGGTCTTTGGTGAGGTCGAGCAGCTCGCCGAGGCTCTTGAAGTCCTCCAAGCAAATCTGCCACACACAGAGACACACACAGTGGACGGATGGGCGTGTATGTGTATGTGTATGTAGCTTACCAATTCGAGTTTGGCGGCGAGTTGCTGCAGCTCCGACTGCGGTGCCCTCTGCTTCGACAGTGCTACAAACTGAGCCCTCGTGACGTCAGCTACTGCTACGCGGCCAGCCATACCCATACCCACACCCTGCCCTCCCCCCTCCCCCTCCCCATCGCCAGCCGCCTTGCCGCCCGCATTGCCATCGCCGCCACTGGGGTGCTGGTGGGCATGGAGGTGGACGCCTTGAGCGGATGGGAGATCGTCGTGTTTGTTGCCTCGGCTGCTGGGCGGCTGCTCGACGGCCATCTCGACCATCGGTGGCGCGGCGGCTGCCGCTGCCGCTGGGGCATCCTCTATCTGCTGGTCGTCACCCCTCCCCTCCCCCTGGAGCTGATGTGGCTGGTGGCGCTGTGGCTGGTCCTCGTCGACCACGAGTGGCTCTGAGTCTGCGGGCACCAGCCCCATCGTGGGCATGAGCACGCCATCGCACTGACCGCCACCATCATCACCACTACCAGCAGCAGCAGCATCGTCCATGTGTTGGTCGTCATCTGCCCTGCCACTGCCCCCCTGCGGCCCCCGTGCTGGCGATGGTGGCTCTTGCTTGACAACCCTCTCCTCCTTGACAGCACACTCCTGCTTGACGCCACCCACGCCTCCCTGCCGCCCGTCGCCGCTTTTGCTGCCGTCGTCTGTGCCCTTCGACTCGCCATCCTCCTCGTCGATCTTGCCCGTCGCTGCCACAAAAGCCGCAGTGATATCGAGTACGTCTCGCTCTTGGTCTCCCTCAGGTGCGTCGGCTGCGGGCAGCGGTGGGGGCGGGTGCAGGGGGGCCGGTGCTGGGTGCATTGGCTGGCCCATCAGGGCATCTGATGGCTGAGGTTGGGTGGCGCCCTGTGCAGCTGACGCCGCCTGCGCCGTCAGGTCGTCCCTGTATCTGGCGGCGTCCATGACGGCCTGCAGCACGTGGGCATATGTGCTGCCCCTGACCTCGAATGGCCGGTCCCCGTACGCCCCCACTCCCTTGACGATGATGGCCACCGTGCCGGATGCCGACTTCTTCTGAAGCTTGACGCCCTCTAGGTCGTGCTTGAGCATGTCCGTGGCGACGCTGCGCGTGCAGCTCAGCAGCTGGTCATAGTCGAGGGGCTGGTGGGGGGTCAGCTGCCACTTGGGTGAGTCTGTGGGTGCTGGTACTGGGTGCACTGGCTGGTCGATCACGGCACCGGCTGATGGCTCGGGGGGCCGAGGGTGGCTGGAGTGGATTGGTTGCATGGGGCAAAGGCGGGGGCGACGGAGAAAAGAACGGTTGGCGATCGGCAGCAGCTGGCGTCGCAATGCGCCTGACCTCCGTGATGGCCTGCTGGACGTGGCTGTATGTGTCGCCCATGACCTCGACCACAGTCAGACTCGGTCGGCCTGGCAGTGCCTTGATGGCGATGGACGGCCTGCCGGAGACGGCATGCTTGCACACTTTCATGCCGAAGATGCCGAACTTGAGCGCGCCCTCGACACACTGATTCAGATAGCTCAGTAGTTGCTCGTGGCCGAGGCGCTTGTCAGGCTCCAGGTGCCACTGCGGCGGGCCCGGTGCTGGTGGTGGGGGTGGTGCTGGCTGCATTGGCTGGTCCACTGGGGGTGAATTGGCGCCGTTGGGCAGACGGGGCGGCAACAGAGGGACGAGCGGATGCGCAACGGGCAGAAGGGGGGGCTGCCTCTGTGGCGAGTGCAGCCTGTCGGGGGGCCTGTTGCCCTTGCCGCCCTCGCCATCTGCCCCCTTGCCTCCCTGACCCCCCCGACTACCTCGCCGCCTTGTGTCAGAGAGTATGCGCCTGCCCTTGTTATCTTCGACTGTCGTCCTGTGGGTGCTCTGCTGGTACAGCCCCACTGGTCCCCCGCAGTCCACCAGCTTCTTCACCTTCTTGGTCACACCCCCAAAGTGCCATGAGGGGTCCCTGGGGCCGCGCGATGCCTCTGCGGAGAGGTAGTACCCGCCACCGTGACCGTCGGGGTAGGGCCCCATGGTGAGTGTGACGCACTCGGGAGTGCTGATCTCGAATGACGTCTTGTCAGCCAGGCCTTGGAATATGCCGCCAAGGCAGTCGCCGCGCTTCTCGCAGTAGGTGCGAAACTTCTCCTCACAGTCAGCCACAATCTCTACACACACACACAGACAAACAGATTGACCGTAGGGATTGAACCACACCCCCTCCTGCTTACCACTATCCGGTCGCTTGGCCCATGGACGGGCAGCAGTAGCAGAAGCAGACGCAGCAGACGCAGCGGCTGGCGATGCCTCCATCGAGCTGGCCAAGTCGTTCTCTAAGTCGACGACCATGCGTATCTTGTCACACGTGTCATGCGCTGTCTGGCGGGGCGCATTGCGGCGACCGAACGACGGAGGGCTGCCAGACAGACGCCGCTTGGACCGACGAAGACCACCATTCCCCTCCTGCTGCTGCTGCTGCTGCTGGTGCTGCTGGTGGGCTGGTGTGTCCTCGACGTCGATCTGCTCCTCGGGCGGCCAGTCGTATTCCTCTACGACATCGAGCAGCCCTTCACACGGCTGTAGCCCGCCGACCAGACACGACTCGTCCTTCAACCCCTTCAGCCTGGATGGAGCGACACACATCACATCACATCACATCACTCACAACTCATCCAGCCATCCATCCATCCATCCATAACCCATGCCTCTCTCTGTTTCTTGCCGTGTTCGTTCACCTACCGAGCATTTCTATAGTGGATGGCTTCCACCAGCGCCTCCCGCACCCCGTGGCTCTGCGCACAGCTGAAGTCCTCCACCTCCACGCGGCACCCATCTGACACTGCTTGCATGGCAGCAAACGCATTCATGTGAATGCCTGAATGGCTTCTCTTCTTTCTGGGCAGCGCGACACGCCAGGCCACCAAGCGGTCCCCATGGTAACACGGCTCGATGCACAGCGGACCGCTGACCCTCTCACGCAGCAGGCTCACGATCGGGTGGATGGGCGGCTGGGCGGCTGGGGCGAGGGGGAGGGGGAGGGCTGGTTGTGGCCATGGTGGGTGTGGTTGCCAGCGGTGGTGCCCTTCTGGTCTGGTGGGTTGCTCGGACTCCCAGACACCTAGAGGCAACGGCACATAGGTGTCCGGCACGAGTCCATTCTCCGTGTCAGTCATGTGTTCCTTGACGCACCTGAGAGTCCCTTGTGCCGCTGTTGGCCGCCGGCTGTCTGCTAGCTGCTACTCCGACCGACATGTGGGCCATCTGCTGCTGCTGCTGCTGCTGCTGGTGCTGCAGCCGGGCTGTGCGAGCAGTGAGTGCATTGTCGAGGGCCTTCTGGATGGCTGCAAGCGTCCTGCCGTCAACTGGGTAATTCTCTGGCAACCCCTGCAGGCAACACATACACACACACACACACACACAGGTGTGAGTCAGGCCATCCATCCATCCATCCATCCATGCCATTCATTCCCACTTACCTGACAGGCGAAGGCTATCTGTCCCTCTCTCCCCTTCTGCCGCACCTCTACGGGCCATTGCTGCCACGAGCTTCTCGCCGAGAGCCTCTCAGCCTGACGCAGCAAGTTCTGGGCTGCGATGAGGAGGTCGCTTCGTGAGAGCTCCTCGTGATCTGGCTGGCCGCCGATGGCCGCCATGCTTTGGGGATCTGACAGAGGGGAGAGCACAGAGGCCATTCACAGCGCCATGATGCGGTGTGAACGAGTCACGCAGGAGTGGATGGATTACCTTCAAATGGGCAGAATGCACTCACGGCTGGCGATGTTGTTGAGCTTGCCCGCACCACAGGCATGCATTAACCATCAATGTTCGCTGCCGCGATCCTGCATGCGGAGGACCCCCCAGGGCCCCCAGTCTTTTCGGAAAATGGCAGCGGCGAGTCCAGAACTGCCCGTGGCGCACTCCACGGCCAATGGAGAGATCACCGATAAGCGCGGTTTGCCTCCCAGTGCGGGTTCGGTGGCGTTGGACAAGCCAGCGATGTTCAGCTCTGCACTGGAGCAGATGGCGGGTGATGGCGTGTGCCTCAAGGCCGTCAAGGCCATCACTGAGAGCGAAGATGAAGGCCGCAGGCTCGTCATGCAGATTTGGAAGGCTGTCGCCCAGAGGATACGCTTCGAGCTGGACGGAGGTAACCACATGACATATGTGTGGAGAGAGGCGGTGCGTTGAGTGCCCAGTGCAGTGCCGGTGGTGTTGGTCTTCCTATCTCCCTTAATTTTCCTATCAGGCAAGGCGGTAGCGCTGCAGCCATTGGGTGTCTTCCACATCGCCCCTCCTGCCACTCTGGACGGCAGCGGCAAGACAACCACAGCCGTCGGTTCATTTGCTCGTCTAGCGCCGTGTCTGTCTTTCTCGGAGGGTTTTCTCACCCAGTACGGCCTGCAGATATCGGCAACCATGCTGGCCACTCAGCCGCAGGCTCAGGCCAGACAGCCCAGCGGGCCGCCCCTCAAGCTCAACGGATCAGCGGTCGGCAAGACGCTCGACGTCGACAAGCAGGTCGTCATGACGGTCGTCAACGCACTCATCACACGAATGGGTGACGCCATGAGCCGCAACGCATATGTGGAGATCCCCTTTTGGCCACTGGGCACAATGGTCTCCGACGCGAGAGAGATTTCCTTCCAGCCGGCGACCCCTCAGGGGCCTTCCAGCCTTGCTGGCACCTTTCTCGCTGGCGCGACCAAGGCGCCACTCTCCCCGATGATCGGTGCGGCGGCGCGGCCCACAGCCCTTGTGCCCCGCCAGACGGTGGGGAGTGTGCTGGCGTCTCGCGAACAGATCAGAAGAAGACAGGCCGCCGCCACACGGACACAAGCTGCAGAGAGAGTTGCCGAGAGTGCCGAGCCAAGGCCGAGAGTACCATTCGGCGAGCAGCCGGCTGAGGCGCCGACCCAGGCTACTGTTGAGGCACCTACTGCAGCGTCTGAGGAGATCGCTGACGGCACAGGGCCAGGAAGGCCACCATTGAAACGTACGAGAGAGAAAAAAGTGATGCCTGAGACTCTGCTTTAGTGATGTGATGTGCGGGTGTTGTCTTTCTTTTCCGTGGTCTGTCTACTCTACTCAGCCAGAGCAGCACCACCCCAAGCAGTGTCCCTCTCCCCCTCCCAGCACCCCGTCCCCGCCCCACTGCCGTCGACATTGGCCAAGAAGGCCTTCCGCTTCTCGTCCAAGACTCAGCTTCCCCCCCTCCTTGACGTCTTTTCGAGAACACGAGCCGCCCCCTACAACAGCGATTTGCATAGAGGGTCGGCCAGTGCGAGCATCGCCTGCTACTACTCCCCCGCTGCCGCCCTCATAGTGCTCGACTCCAAGACCAAGGCGCTCAGATGGAAGCAGGCTAAGGGCAGCCAGAGGGCAGCCACTGGTGTGGGGAAGGAGGAGAAAAAGGAGGCGCCACAAGTCAAGGTGAGCCTTCGAGGGAGGCACCGTTTGTTGGGTGTGTGGTGTTTCGTCTCGCTTATTAGTGTCTGTCTCATCTGTGTGTGTGTGCGTGTGTCTGTGTGTGTGTGTCTGTGTGTGTGTGTCTGTGTGTGTGTGTGTGTGTGTGTCTCAGGTGTACATAGACTACGAGCAGTTTTTCCCGCGGATTGTGGAGGGCAGTGAGTTGGATGTGGAGATTTTGGAGGCCGGGCTGAGCCGCCATGAGTTCTTTGAGAACCTCTACAAATACTTTTCATTCATTAAAGAGGTAGGTATGCATGGGACACACGCGAGACGCAGATAAATAAATGAGGGGAAACACCCACCGTATGTGTGTGGTGTGCTTAAAAAGGGTATTGATGAGGGGATGCTGGCTGAGCTTGATGCTGACTGGGTTGACAATGTGGGCTACCTCCTTGAAATACAAAAGTTCACCGCCATACCCAATGACGTGTGCGCATACACATTATGACACACACATACACACACATGCATCCTTCCCTCGTTCGTTGCTTTTGTCATGCTTGCAGGGTTGACAGGGTGTTGGACGAGATGACAGGCGAGATGAAGCGCGACTACCAGAAGGCTCTGCGCAAGGCGATCGTCGACTACGTCATGAGAGATCCCGACCAGCAGAAGAGGACGGGCGTCAGGTTCGTCCCCGACGCCGCGCCAGACTGGGGCAGTGTGCCGTTTGAAGGCATTGAAGGCACGTGTGGCGGCCCGCCTGACGAGTGGCGGAGCGACATTGAGGACAACCGCCAGGCGCTCATCGGCCGCCTTACTGTGTGCTGCCAGACCACTTTGAGGCTGCTGGACCTCTGGAGCACTCACTACTCTCACCACCTGCTGCTGGACCTGCCGGTCAAGTCATCCGAGCTCATGGAGATCGACGTCTTCTCACTCAGACAACAGAAGCACCGGTGAGTCAGTGAATGAGTGAAGCGAACACTTGGTGCCTCTCTCGTCCGTGTATGTCTCTGTATACACCCACAGTGAGCTGCTTTACAAGCGGTTCGAGCAGCAGTGGTTTGAGGAGGTCATGGCCATCATCCGTGACGAGGATGAGTACCTCGACACGCCCAAGGAGCCCGTCTTCTTCGAGAGCGTGGCGACGCTGCTGGCCAACCAGATCCGCTCGCTGGTCGAGAAGAGCATCCAACACTATGTGGCCTTCTTCCAAAGATTCGACAAGAAAGACCCCCTCACGCCCACACAGGTCAAGACCCTCAGCAGCCAGGACGAGAGGGAGGACGCTTTTCTGCTCGTTAAGCTCGTCACAAAGGGAGAAGAGATTCGGTAAGCGTAAGGGATGCCAGAAAGAAGCACTCACTCACAAGGCCGGTGGGTGCTTCCCTGCTGTAGGTTCAAGCATGTGCTCGAGCACATCCAGGAGCGTCTGTTGAAGGTCTTCACCGACTTCGTGTCCTGTCTCAAGGAAATCCCGCGGCCGGACCGGCCAGACGCCACACCAGGGGGCGGTGGCGGACAGAAGGCAGCGGGCAGCTCCGGCAGGCGGGATGGCGGCGCGCCCCAGAGATCGCACCTGCGGGAGGTCTCAATGGATGAACAGCACGTCTACCAGGCCTACCAAAAGGTGACATCACACCAAGAGGCTTCATTCATGCGACACTTATATATGCGCCCGTCGTGTTTTGTTCGTTCCTTCAGATCGACGAGATCATCAGCACCAATCTGCACAACATCGAGAAGGCGCTGCACCTCTATGACGACTACTCGCACCTGCTGTCCGAGGACAAGCGGATGCGGGCCTTCACTGAGGACGTCGGCCACACCATTGAGGACTACATGAAGGAGATCGGCAGGCTGCGGAACACAGCCGACGCCATCGACACTAACTGCCCCGCAGAAGTGCGAATGGTGAGTGAGCTCCATCCGTCCGTCCGTCCACAAACACGTGTTTTGCTTTGTGTTCATCCAGACAATGGCGGCAGTTGACTGTCTGGAGCTGAACGAGCTCCTCAAGTCCAAGGCCAGGGAATGCGAGCGTATTTTGCAGCAGGTCGTCGCAGAGCGCATCCTCGACCGCAGCGCACGAGTCGTCAAGAGCTTCGAGAACTTCCAGGCAAGTCACAGAAAGACAGAGAGACGGACGGGTGACAACCAGTCATCGATCGCAATCGTGGCTTCTGTCTGTCTGTGTCTCCTTAACCAGACTAAGATTTCCAAGAAGCCCATGACTGAGGTCGAGCTCGTAGAGCTCGAGGAGGCACTCGACAAATTCAAGTGAGTAGATCGTACGCCTCATTCGCCGTGTGGAAGGTCAGGGTGTCTGTGTGTCTGTTCTCTGTGTGTTTGTAGGACTGACGAGTCGAAGCGTCTGTCTGACGAATTTGCAGACATCAAGGCGTGGCAGCAGATGCTCTTCAACACGGGACATTTGCTCACTCCCGACGACTTCAAGAGCGTCAGGGCCGCGGCAGAATGGATGCAGTCCATCGCACAGATACTCGACAACCGAGACAAAGAACTCAAGGCGAGAAGGAGTGGATGGACAGATGGAGTCCGAACAAATGACCGCACAGCTGCTTGTCTCTCTGTCTGTCTGTCTGTCTGTTTGATTGCAGCAAGAGAGAGAGGGTCTGGAGGACAAGTTCAAGGAGCAGCGGCAGAAGTTCACTGAGGACGTCCAGTCGTGTCTCAAGAACGTCGAGGCGTTCAGAAAGTACGGCAACATGCGTCAAATGGAGGAGTACTTGGAGAAGATCCAGGGCCTCAAGGAGAAGTTCGAGCGCTTCCAATTCGAAGTCGAGAACCTCAACCAGAAGGAAGAGCTCCTCGGGTGGGAAGCAACAGACTTCGAACAACTCACAGAGGTCAGTCGGGCGGTCTCAAGCGCAGCTCCACTGCAGGCAGACACCGACGGGCTGTTGTTTGCTCGTGTCTCACCTCACCCAGGCCATAACGAAGTTGGAGCCCTACGAGAAGCTCTGGAACCTGGCCAACGACTTCACCAAGCAGTCTCACCAGTGGATCAGAGGACCGCTCTTCCAGCTCGACCCGGAGAAGGTCGACAGCGAGGCCAACGCCATGTGGAAGACGGCATATAAGCTCGAGGCATCCTTCGGCGACGACCAAGCCGAACCAGCATCCGTGGCCGCCCACGTCAAGTCGCAGCTCGACTCCTTCAAGGCAAACCTGCCACTCCTGCACGCTCTCTGCAACCCGGGTGATACAGTAATACACATTCGTTACGCTTTGCTTATTCGGATGTGTATTGTCATCAGGGCTGCGTGAGCGGCACTGGGAGGAGATATCCAATATCGTGGGTTTTGCGATGGAGCCTGACTCGTCCTTCACACTCAGCCGCGTCATCGACATGGAGGTGTCCAAGCACCTGGATCAGCTGCAGGAGATCTCCGAGGCGGCCGCCAAGGAGTATGCCATCGAAAAGGTGCGTGACCAGATGCTCGAGGAGTGGCAGCCCCTCGACTTCGAGTTCAAAGAGTGGCGCGACACCGGCACATTCATACTCGGAGGCGCGTGCGTCGAAGAGATACAGGTAGGTATACAGACAGACATGTCCCCACTGCACAGCAGATGCATGCCTAATTCGGACGGGTGTCTGTCTTCAGACTCTTCTGGATGATCACATTATTAAGACACAGACAATGAAGGGATCGCCGTTCGCAAAGCCGTTCGAGACGCAAATCAACGAATGGGAGAACTGGCTGCTCAGCACACAGGCAAGATAACAAGATCACACGTGAGATGTTCTTGTCATTCTTGTGTGTTGTGTGTTGCAGGAGATCTTGGACATGTGGCTCAAGGTGCAGAGTGTGTGGTTGTATCTGGAGCCCATTTTCTCGTCCGAGGACATCATGAAGCAGATGCCCACAGGTGCGCCACAAAGCAGAGGAGACATAAACACACAAGCACAGCACAGCACACCAGGTGCCACTCATTTGCTTACAAGGTGGCTGTGTCTCCGTGTGTAATGGTGCAAGGTAGAGGGACAGCTTTTTCGAAGAGTGGACGGCACATGGCGGTCCATCATGAAGCGGGCCCACGAGGTCAAGCAGGTTCTGCAGGTCACCAAGGCAGAGGGGCTCCTCCAGCAGCTGCAGGAGTCCAACTCGAGCCTCGAGACGGTGCAGAAAGGCCTCAACGACTATCTCGAGACCAAGCGGCTGTTCTTCCCGCGCTTCTTCTTCCTCTCCAATGACGAGCTGCTCGAGATCCTCTCCGAGACCAAAGACCCGCTGCGTGTGCAGCCCCATCTGAAGAAGTGCTTCGAGGGCATCCAGAATCTCGAGTTCCAGCCCGACAAGAAGATCACTGCCATGATATCCTCGGAGAAGGAAAAGGTCACTCTCACACACGTCGTCGATCCTGTTGCCGCAAGGGTACGCGAGACGAAGGGCACATCAGAGGGAGCGTGAGTGTGAATGCCCAATGAATGTCTTCCCGGCTTGGCGTGGCTGTGTGTCTTTGTCAGGGCAATGTAGAGATGTGGCTACTGGAGCTCGAGAAGTCGATGGTCGACTCTACCAAGTTCCAGTGCTTCGAGGCATTCCGCGACTACCAGACCAAGCCTCGCATCCAGTGGCTGCAGGACTGGCCCGGACAGGCCATTCTGTGCGTCGACCAGATCGTGTGGACAGACGAGGGCGCGACCGCCATCCGCACAGGTGGCCCGCAGGGACTCTCCGATTACCATCTGAAGCTTGACGAGCAGATGGACGCCGTGGTCAATCTGGTGAGGGGCGATATCCCCAAGCTCGTCCGCAAAACCCTCGAGGCGGCGATAGTCATCGATGTACACAACAGGGATGTAGTGCACCAGCTGGCTGATCTGGGCATCGCCAGCGACCAGGACTTTGACTGGCTTGTCCAGATGCGGTACTACATTGAGGAAGACAGCGCGTCCAACCAACAGGACATCTGGGTGCGGATCACCAACTCCCACTTGTCCTACAATTACGAGTACTTGGGCAACTCAGCGCGGCTCGTCATCACTCCCCTAACCGATCGGTGCTACCGCACTCTCTGCGGCGCCATCCACCTCACACTAGGAGGGGCACCCGAAGGACCCGCCGGCACAGGCAAGACGGAGTCGGTCAAGGATCTAAGCAAGGCGCTTGCCCGGCTGTGTGTCGTCTTCAACTGCTCGGACGGTCTTGACTACATCGCCATGGGGAAATTCTTCAAGGTGCGGCTCACACTCGTGTGGATGCCATCCATATCAACGCACACGTGTCTCCGCCTCTGTGTGGCTTCAGGGCCTGGCTGCGTCTGGGGGTTGGTGCTGCTTTGACGAGTTCAATCGTATAGACGTGGAGGTGCTCTCAGTGGTGGCACAACAGATCCTCACCATCCAGCAGGTGGACCAACACGACTGAAGGCGAGAGAGACATGCTGCCCGTTTTCATCTGCTGTGTGTCTCATGCAGGCGATCGCAAAGAAGGTTTCAGAGTTTGAGTTTGAGGGCACCCGTCTGCAGCTCAAGTGGACCTGCAACTCCTTCATCACGATGAACCCAGGATATGCAGGCCGCGCAGAGCTGCCCGACAACCTCAAGGCGCTCTTCCGCACAGTGGCCATGATGGTGCCAGACTACGCCCTTATCGCCGAGATCGTCCTCTACTCATTCGGATTCGGCGACGCGCGCAGCTTGGCGCGGAAGATCGTGACAACATACACACTCTGCTCTGAGCAGCTGTCGTCCCAGGATCACTACGACTATGGGATGAGGGCCGTCAAGTCCGTCCTGACTGCCGCAGGCAATCTGAAGCGCAAGTTCCCCAACGAGGACGAGAGTATCCTGATGCTGCGGGCTATCAACGACGTCAACCTGGCTAAGTTCTTGTCCCACGATCTGCCCCTCTTCCAGGGCATCACCTCCGATCTCTTCCCGGGGGTCGTGCTGCCTCAGCCCGACTACAAGGTATGCAGGCATACGCATCATGATGCTGCAGTCGGAGCTCTGCTTCTGGGGCATCTTGGTCTTTTGCAGGCTCTCCTTGATGCGCTGAACAAAAACCTCGAGAAGGCGAATCTGCAGCCCCTCCCCTACTTCATCGACAAGGTCATCCAGTTGTACGAGATGATCATCGTCAGACACGGCCTCATGGTGGTCGGGCTGCCCTACGGCGGCAAGACGTCCTCGCTGCGGATGCTGGCTGGGGCCCTCACGGACCTCGCCGAGAAGGGCTTGATGGACGAGCACAAAGTGCACATGGCAACGCTGAATCCCAAGTCAATCAAGATGGGACAGCTCTACGGGTGCTTTGATGAGGTCTCTTACGAGTGGAGCGACGGCATCCTCGCCGTCCTCTACAGAAACTTCGCACGAGACCAAAGCGAGGTAAGGCGACCTCACAAGTGTCTTGCGTGCAATTCACGTCTCTTTCGTGTGTTGATCTTATCAGGATCGCAAGTGGCTTGTGTTCGACGGTCCGGTGGATGCCGTGTGGATTGAGAACATGAACACCGTACTCGACGACAACAAGAAGCTGTGCCTCATGAGCGGTAGGCAGCAGCAGATGCACGGAGACACGCCCGTCCTTTCTCTGCGCTTGTGGACATGCAGGTGAGATCATCGCGATGGCTCCAAACATGAACATGATCTTCGAGCCAATGGATCTCGCCGTGGCCTCACCGGCGACCGTCAGCCGGTGCGGAATGGTAAGCACAACAAGTCCATCTGAACACATAGCTGCCGGCATATTAATGGATGTCCGCAGGTGTACTTCGAGCCTCATGCAATGGGCTACAAGCACCTCATCGACAGCTGGATGAAGGCATACAGCACAGCGGGAGACAAAGACAAACCGGAACTTTGTTTGTTTGTTGTGGCTGTCTGCAGGCTCACTGCCCCGAGACGTTGACCGACGGCGAGAAGAGTCAGATCCTGTCGGTGTCGAAATGGCTGCTGGAGCCGCTGCTCGAGTACCACAGGAGCAGTCTGGCGGAGGTGTCGCCCAGCCAGGACCAGAACCTCGTTGCCTCCTACCTCAAGCTGCTGACCAGCTTGCTGAAGCCCCTGTGTGATGTGGACTACAAGGCAGGCCTCGGCGACAAGCAACTCAGCAGCTTCGTGGATGCCAGCTGCGCCTTTGCGACAATCTGGTCGATTGGCGCTTCCACCAACACGGCAACGAGAAAGAGTTTGGATATCGTCCTAAAGAAACTCCTCGCCGGCAGCTTTGAGGGGATCAAGCAGCTCAAGAAGATCACACCCGCTCTCCCCGAGCGTGGCAGCTGTTTCGACTTTGTCTACCGGGCGGAGACGAACACATGGGCCCAGTGGATGGTGAGACACGAGCACAGACATTGCCACACACGGCTGTCTGCATCGTTCACGTGTCTCGTTGGCTGTCTGTCAGGACACAGTTGAGAGCGCGCAGTTGTTCCCGCCAGGCACCCAGCCAGCAGAGATTATCGTCCAGACGGTCGACATGGTCAGGTATTCCTATCTGGCCAACATGAACATCGAGGCGGGCGTCTTCACCCTCTTCTGCGGACCGACGGGCACCGGCAAGACCGCGTACGCACTCAAGGTGGAATTGCGGACAAAGACCATATATCGACACTCTGGCTGAAGGTGTCTGTTCGCGTGTGTCAGGTGTTGGATTCGCTGCAGACATCCGAGAACCAGACACAGGATCTCATTGACGCCAAGCTCGAGAAGAGGCGACGAGACACTTCCGGCCCGCCACTCAACAAGCGGTGCATCTTCTTTGTGGATGACATGAACATGTCGCCACCGTCGCTCCCACCTGTGGCCAACCGACGCATGCAAGGCGTCACGGAGCGGCTGATGAGCATGGACCTCCTTGCCTTGGGCGCCTTGGGGCGGGCCACGACCTCCCAGCCTGTGGGCTCGGCTGCCGAGGGTCTGAGAGGTCCCTGTGGGGCCACGTTGGCTGGGGCCCCCAAGGGCCGGCAGGCGCGCAGTTCAGTGGTTCGGCAACCACGGAGAAGCTGGAGGAGGACAACAGCAAGGAGGAGGAGGCGCCCCGTGAGCCGGCAGCGCCGCGTGCCTTTGCCTAGCGAGATGACGATGCTTGGCGAGTTCCTGCTGTGGGCGACACAGCCGCCGGCCTATCGGCTGATCAAGAGGGCCGCCAAGGGCGGCCAGGGGGAAGGCGAGGCACCCGCATTGGGCCAACGCAGAAGCTGCAGGACACAAGCAAGGAGGAGGAGGCGACCCCCGAGCCCGCCGTCAAAGAGACCGCCTCCGAGGGACCCCATCGAGCCACCCCTTCCCCCCACACAGGCCGCAGAGGCACCCCCCGCCGTCCCTGCACCGTCAGAGCCGCCTGCCCCGCCACCCACGGCAGCAGGACCTCCTGCGCCACCAGCTGCGGCGGCTGCTGAAGGCGACAAAGTCACTGACATAGAGAAATTCAAGCCGAGAGAGCAGCCAGAGGAGCCACACGTGGCAGAGGAGACAAGAGAGGATGCAGCAGCAACAGCACCGGCCGAGGAGCCTTCAAGGGAAGTTGAGCAGGAGGAGGATGGCCCACAGGATGAGGAGCAGCAACCGCTAGATGAGGAAGAGGTCAGCGGGCGGGAAAATAGTGCACTGGACTTCATTGCATTCATTGCTTGTCTGTCTGTATGTCTGTCTGTCTGTCTGTGCGTCGCATGTGTGCGCATCAGAATCCCGACAAGGGACTGAGCCAGCCAGCCCCCATTGTCCACAGACAACAGCCTGCAGACAACGTACGCACTCACACACTCACACACTCACACACTCACACACACACATACACACATACACACACACATCGACGACAGCCGTCAGCTCGTGTGCCCATATCTGTTCTGATCCCATGTTTGTTGTGTCAGGATACCTCCCGCCGCGTGTACTCCCGAGACAGACTCCTCGCCTGCAAGCCGCCGGGAAGCAAGCAGAGACCCCGCCCGACACAGAGAGACTGACAAGCCGTGTGCAAGGGTGCATCGGTGCTCTGTGTGCAGGTGAGCGACGAGCCGCCCGAGGAGGTGGCCAATCTGCACGATGCGGTCGTCCAGCGGCAGCCAGGAGGCGCCTTCGACTCCAGCCCTGTGTTCCGGGGTCGCTCCCGACTCAGCCTGCGGCCCAGTGGAGGGGGAGGATCATCTACTGTCCCGGTGCGTCTGTCTGTCTGTCTGTCTAGACACACGCCGACACACATGCACTTATTCTTTGCACCTTTGCTGCAGATGTTTGGCCAGGACTTCCAGCCGTCGCCAGCCCGGCTGGACAGCTACGACAAGAAGTCCCCTCCGAGCGACGCATCACCTCCCGGCTCTTCCGGCAGGGGTCAGTGCGATAGAAGTGTCATTGCATAAGCAGGGCTGAATGGATGGACGGCTGGCTTTGTGTGTATCTGGCAGCGCCCCCTCCTGGAGCGGACGGTGGGTACGTTCCAGTGCCGGCGCCGAGTGCCAACGCGTACCGCGTGACGAAGCCGACGGAGAGGAACCAGGTCATCGAGCGGGAAGCCAAGAGCAAACTCAACAAGCTTACCATCGAGAAATTCGAAGTCATCGCCGAAAAACTGGGTCAGTAGCTCGGTGGCACTGACGGGGAGGGAGGGAGGGAGGGAGGGAGGGACGGAGGAAGGGCCACATCAGTGTGCATCCCGTGTGTGCCTTGTCTGCCTGTGTGTGCGTGTGCGTGTGCAGCCCAACAGTGCGAGCAGCTGCAGAGTGGAGAGGACCTCGACTTGTTTGTCGCTGTCGTTTTCGAAAAGGTCGGACCAATCGGCCCACACATTGGAGCATTTGAGACATGTTTGTGTTGTGTGTTGTGTGCGGTGCAATGCATGAAGGCTGTGTCCGAGCCCAACTTCAGCGAGATGTACGCTGACCTGTGCCTGATCCTTGGCTGGCGGTCACCTGAGTTCCCACACGAGAAGGAGAAGGGCAAGACCTTTCGCAGGGCGCTCCTCAACAAGTGCCAAGAGGAGTTCGAAAAGTGGGAGACAGAAGCCCTCTCACACACACACACACACACACACACAGACAACCTTCATTTCTGTGTGTGCGTGTGTAAACAGGCTGCCCGAGACCAAGATGACGCTGAGCGACGAGGACAAAGCGGGGCTCTCGCCCGACGACCAGGATATCAAGCTCAAGAAACTCAAGGACCGAATACTTGGAAGTGAGCACCTCATGTGACTTACGCGCATCCACTCATCCAATCCACTCACGACACACTTTCTCTGCTATGTCTCTGTGTATGTGTGTGTGTGTGTGTTTAGACATCAAGTTCATCGGGGAGCTGTTCCTGCGTCGGCTGCTGCCGACCAAGGTCGTCAAGGAGGTCGTCACCTCACTCATCGGCGAGGACGCCTCGTACTCGCCAGAGGAGCTCTTCATCGAATGCCTTTGCACGCTCGTCACAACTATCGGTCAGTACTTTTCACAAACACACAGACGGAGAGAGAGGGAGGGAGACGACCCTCAGACGGGCAAGGTGCGGTCGCTATGGGTGCAGGATTGACGCTCGAGTCCACTGACGCCGGCAAGCAGCTGCTGACGCACTTCATCAGCCGAATGACGGAGCTCAAGGACCAGGACAAGTACTCCACGCGGATCAAATTCGCGCTACAGGTACGCACCTGGGCAGGCAGGCAGCCAGGCAGGCAGGCAAGGAGGCAGACAATGCATTTCCGTTTGTCAGTCTTTCCCTCCCTCACGCCATCGTGCGTGTGTGTGTGTGTGTGCAGGACGTATTGGATTTGCGCAAGAACGACTGGCGGCAGAAGGTGCACAAGGAGAAGGCAAAGGCGCTCAGCGACATCAGAGAGGACGTGAGCACACTTTTCCCCCCCACACACAGAGGCAGCCAAGCTCATACGCCGTTTGTTTGTCAGGTCAAGAGGGAGGAGGCCATGGGCGGGGCCATCCACGCTGCACAGCAAGGCACCTTTCAGTTCGTCGGCAGGAGAACCGACGTGCGCACACACACTATTACACACACAGACCAACCACACACACTTTGACGCATCCACCATGTCTTTTGGTTGGTCGGTTCATCATCCTTCAGACGATCTACGAGCCCTACATGGACAGGCAGCGCGAGTTGTTCGACTCGAAGGAGACGGCCAAGAAGGAAGTGGTCAGAAACCAAGACCCGTCAAGCAACGATGTTCGTGTCACCATACTGTCGTCTGTGGTGCATGTGCTGTGTTGTCGCAGGGTGGCAACCGCGTTGAGGCCGTCACCCAGACCTCACAGACATCACAGACATCGCAGCAGCAGCAGCAGCAGCAGCCGAAACCATACGGTAGGCGAAGCGCCACCTCTCACCTCACCCGGCACAATTGCTTCCTGTGCGCGTATTCCGTCCCTCTTCGTTCGTTTGTCTAGGTGGCCCCCCTGGTATGCAGCTGCCATCTCCGTCGGCCAAGCCCGAGGCTGCCCCTGCTGTCGGCCCCACTCCGCCCGCACCCAGCCAAGTCCCCAACTTCGCCGGCGCCCCGCCAGCAGCCGCACAGGCGCAGGCCACCACGCCGCAGCCTCAGCAGACGGCGACTCAGCAGCAAGTGCAGACTCCTCAGGCCGCCAAGGACGACAAGGCACCCGGTGCCGTCACTGCCGCTGCCCGGATCGGGACGGTCACGGCTGCCGCTGGTGAGATCGTCGGCCGTGGAGTAAGACTCGCGCCTCCGGTCAGGATCCACCCACCGCATCCTGGGAAGCGGTGGGTGGTGAAACGGCAGGTGGGCAGCGAGTGAGGCCGTCCCGATTGACGGCTCCATCAGTGGTCTGTGCTCAGCAGTGGACGAGAGAGAGAGGGAGAGTGCTGTGGTGTGCGTGGCCTCACTATACCTTTCTGCCTATCTATGTATCTCCCTGCGTGTGTCCAGTGGATGGGTTCGCGCGTGGCCTCACTATACCTTTCTGCCTATCTATGTATCCTCCTACCTTCTTTCTCGTGATGCTGTACGTGCGTTGGTGGTTGGCATCATGATCATGCCAAGCTTGTGTGTGCCTGAGGTGCGTTGTGTCCGTTGCGGTGTGCTGCCTGCCTGGCGCTCCTCTTCCCCCTTGATGTGCGTACGTGTATATGTATAACACTCTGTGTGACAGACACGTGTGTGTCACTACGACGATTGCAATGCTTGTTGTGTTTTAGCTTTTTTTTTAGCCTGATGTGTTAATTCTCATTGTGTCTTTTCTTTAGCCTGTTGTGTAATTCTGAAGAATGAACCAACTGTGACCTCATCGTGCGTGAATGACTTAGTTGTTGGCATTGAGTGACGTTTGATTGATTAACGAATGAATGGTCGAGTCCCACAGACAGCGCCATACACCCACCCACCCACCCACCCATCCACCCATCCAGCCATCCATTCATTCATTCATTCGTAAGTGTCACCAGGGGGGCCCTGTTGCTTTTCCTTCGCATGCCGTCAAAGCCCGCCTTGACCCAATCCATCATTTGCTTTGTACTGGCACCCATCTCATCCTCCCTCCCTGGAAGTCATAGACAGACAGACAAGCACACGCAGCAAGCAACGGATAATGAGACATTACATTCCCAGGTGTGAAGGCAGGGCCCCCCCGGTAAGAAATTATGCGTATCATGACAAGATATGTGCTTGCACTCTGTTGCTGCGTGTGGTTGTCCATGACGTGCAGGCCATGAAGTGTGTTTTGTGTGTGTGTTGTGTTTGTGTTTTGTGTGTGTATTGTGTTGTTTTTTGTGTGTGTGGGTGGTGCGTATGGGATGGATGCCTCGGTGACATTTCCATCCATTTCAATCAACGAATGATGCAAACTGTTACTTACATGCACACGCATATATATCCGTCCACACACACAGGTACACGCTTCCCGTAGGCACCGCACCCAACGCGCATACGGAAAGAATGGGACTGTGGATATAAAATTTAGGCAGCCATGGGCAGAGTCGCCCTGTCTGTCTGGCCACATCATCTAAGATGTGTGTCCTCGCCCATGTCTAAATCAACACACACAAAGAGACATACATACAAGATGTGTCTGTCTGTGTATGGAAAAAGGTCAATCGAGCCACACAGCGTGTCGCTCGCTCACACGTACAAAGAGACACAGGTTGGTTATGAGGTCACAGTTAGTTCGTTCGTTATGTCCCACCCACACATCCGCTACGGCAAGCCGCGCGACCCAACCAGCTCTCACGCACCGACCTGACTGACCATCATCATCATTATCACACAACAGGCTAAGAAAAACAGGCTAAAGAAAGAACACAACAGGCTAAAGCAAAAGCGAAAACACCACAAGCACAACACACCAAACACACAACAAAACAAAACAAAACAAAACACACCACGCCACACCGAAAGACATGACCATGGCCATGTCTTTCACACGCACGGCGGCAATGAAAGCGCCGCGCCCGCCGCAAGGGAACGAGCGGACACACAAGACCGCGTGCGTGGCTGGAGTGGTAGGACACACCCACCAGACACAGGCAAACAGACAGACAAACGAATTGCTTTGCTCCCGTAGCTAAGCTCTCTTTCACGTGTGCCACGCATCCACCATACCATGCAGCACTCAGGTGACACTACACTGACTGGCGACGTGTGTGCATGAACTCGGCCCACAGCAGGAATTCGCCGAGCATCACAATCAGTGAGTCGGCCTTGGCTTGCTGTCTGCGGATCTTCTTGCGCCGCTGCTTGCGGGCATTCTTGCTGATGCCGGAGTCCTTCTCGTAGGTGGCCTGCAGCCGCTCTGCGAGGGTGGCGGCCTTGGCGGGCGGCACGGCGGGGTCGGGCTTCGGATCTGACACACAGACAGACAGGGAGGCAGGGAGGGAGAGGCAGAGAGGGAGACGGGTGTGGAGTGAGTTGATGAGTGATTGGTTGGATGAGTGTGTCTGTGTGTGTCTGTCTGACGACGTGTGTGCGCAGCGGGGTCAATGATGTATGTCGAACTCGGCCCACAGCAGGAATTCGCCGACCATCACAATCAGTGAGTCGGCCTTGGCCATCTGCTTGCGGATTTTCTGGCACCGCTTCTTGCGTGCATTCTTGGTCAGGCCGGAGTCCTGCTTGTAGGTGGCCTGCAGCCGCTCTCTGAGGGCGGCGGCCTTGGGGGACGGCACGGCCTGCTCGGGCTTCGGATCTGACAGACAGACAGACAGACAGGGAGTGAGTGAGTGAGTGAGAGGCAGAGAGGCAGAGAGGGAGACGGGTGGTGTGGAGTGAGTGGATGAGTGGTTGGATGGATGAGTGTGTCTGTGTGTGTCCGACGACGTGTGCGCACCCAGTGTCTTGTCCAGGTCCCCGATCTCCTGGAAGTGAACGTGTGCCTCTGCTGCTCCATGAAGTCTCGGAAGATCAGCCGCTCGCAAACAAAGATGTCTATGCAATCGACGAACACGTAACCGTCGACGACCCGCCAGCCTCGCCGTCCTCCTTGCCCTGCTCGTGGATGGTGGCGAGGCGAGGCTGCTCCTTTCCCTGCTTGGCCTTGGCTTGCTGCTTTCGGATCTTCTTGCGCCGCTTCTTGCGGGCGTTCTTCGTCAGGCCGGAGTCATGGTCGTAGGTGGCCTGCCGACGCTCTGTGAGGGTGGGCTCGTCCTTGGGGACGACTCGGCCTGCTCGGGCTTCAGATCTGACACACAGACAGACAGACAGACAGACAGACAGACAGATAGGCAGGACGTACAGTCACCTGCGAACTCACATCGATTTTGTTGTCATAACCGCCGCGCTCTTGGTAGTCCTCTCACCTCACGTGGTAATCGTCGGCCGTCTTGCCAATCAGGTCATCAGATTGTCAAGATGCGCCAATTGCTTTCCAGATGCGCCGCAATTGCCGGCATCTGGCAAAAAACACATATTCATTCTGTAAGCACATGAATTCAAAGATGCAGACCTGCGGATGCCTGTGGGTATCGACAGACCGCAGCTTCGTCATATGAGATAAAATCTCGTCTGGATATAAAATGTAGGCACCGATGCATCTGCGACAAGAGACATAGGAGGCACAATTCAATTGACTTACATTACCGCGCTTCATCGCGTTTCTTGCCTGCTGTCTCTGTCTGGTCTCCTTCGCTCGTTGCGTTCTTTCCGCTGCTTTCCAAGCCCGAATGGGCACCCACTTCATGGCCTGCACGTCATGGACAACCACACGCAGCAACAGAGTGCAAGCATATCTTGTCATGATAGATACGCACAATTCCTTACCGCCGGGGCCGTGCCGCTTTTCTCGGGCCAGCCGTGGAAGCCGGCCTTGGGAGGGATCAGTGGCTGCAAGCGGCCAGGAGGACCAGCCGTAGGCCGCGGGCCGCCACGATGACATGCACCTGCAGGCACAAACAAACCACAATGAATGCTCTCACAATGCACTCATGGATGAACACACATGCATCCCATCCCATCCCATCCCATCCCATCACCCACACTGTACTGTACTGTATGTGTGTGTCCGTACCTCTGCCGGGCAAGAGAGCGGCTCCGCGCCTCTGCTGTGGGCTCCGTGCTTGGCGGCCTCCTGCTCCTGCTGCTCCTTCTCCAGCTGCTCGCGCTTGGCCTTGGCCCGCTCACGTCTGGCGGTCTTGTTCAGGGGCCACTCCTGGTTCTCGTGGCCCTTCTTCTCCTGCAGGATGTTCCACACCGCCCATACCCTGCACACATAAAGCACAGACACAGCAACTTTTTCAGCCTGTGGAAGTGACATAGAAGCCAGACAGCTCATGAGGAATCTGTCTTCTGCATCGTGTGCACAGTCTCTTACTTACACTCATCGACCAGGCCTCCCATTCGATCGAGCTGATACCGACCTAAACCACAACGAATGGGGACACACAATGTCTAGCTGGCTAGATGTGGCGATAAAGTGTGTACCTTTTGTGGCCATGTTCTTGTAGAAGCGGTTGCGATGTATGAGTCGACGGGCAATCGATTGAAGAATGGGACTATGGATATAAAATGTAGGCAGCCATGGGCGGGGTTGCCCTATCGTGAACGGCCGTAACACACACCGCTGAACCTTGACACACAGAGACACACAGACACACAGCCATGGTGTTTGTGTGTCGTTTGTGTAGCGCGAGAAGCGTACCGAGGAAGTGTTTGATGAAGACCAGTATGTCTCTGGTTGGCGACTTGTGGCGCGTAGTGTGTCGTGTTTTGGGTACCTACCCATCTGTTGGACGTTGACATCCTTGAACTGAGAGAGGCTCCTGGCGCCGATCAGGTCGTCTTGGCTGTCCCACTTGATGACACTGCACACCATACATCCACACATCAACGTGATCAGCAAATCGCCTGGGCGTCCGCTCCAGCTTACGGGGGTATCTTCCAGTCCGTCCCCTCCAGCTTCAAATCCGTGTTGATCACTGTTCTGAGCGGCTGGTCGAGCGACTGGACCTGCTTGGATCCGCTAGCAGCAGCCATCTCTGGGCCATCCAGACCACAACCACACCCACATCACACCATACACGTCGTCACGAAGACACCTCCCTCCCTCCCTCACCTGGCGCCAACGCAGGTAGTGACACCTCCAAAGCCTCCTCAACACGCGACATTAGCTGGTCAAACTCGCTCGACTGGCCGACCAAATGCCGCATCACCCTGAGGAACTTCTGCAGTGAGTCGGCCTCGCTGGACTGCCTGGTAAGATATCCCCTGATGATGTCGGTGCGCTCTCTGCCGAGGCAGGCTCAGCGGCGAGCACGTCCTCGAGCAGGTTCACGAGATGCTGACGGAGGGTGATGGGCGTGAAGGCCGCTTCGGGCAAGCGCAGCGCTGACAAGGAAAGACAAGCTGACGTGACATGACGGTGAGGCGTACGGCTGTGCTGTGGTCGTGTGTGTTGAATTTAACTCACCTGGTGCGGTGTGGTCGCTCCCGCCACTGGCCCCTCGATGCGAGCATCCCACAATTGACGATGGCGATGGTGGCGCCATAGCCCAGGCTGACGAATTCCTCAATGACGGCCGCGAGGGTGTTGGGATGGTCGCGTGACAGCCCCTTGACATTCTCTGAACACGCACATACAGACAGTCACCAACAAACAGACAGACAGAGACACATACAATCTGTCTTATGAGTGATCGCATTGTCTTTTCCTGCTGATTTTTACATCGAATTTAAGCGGTCTTGGCCTTCGCCATTTTTCCCATTGTTGTAGGTGGCTGAAGGGTGGTGCTTGGCTCGCGGGCTTCTCGTCAATAGCTGGGCCACAATGCATCCCAAGCATGTGTCTCAAGACCACGATATGACTTGCGACCACAGCACACGACAACACAGCAATAGACGACTGAAGAATGGGACTATGGATATAAAATGTAGGCAGCCATGGGGGAAGTCGCCCTATCTTGAGCGGCCGTAACACACGCGGGCTCCTTCCTGGGCAGCCTCACACACACGACACCCAAGAAGGAGAGGTATATTCATGCTGTATACACATGAATCCAAAGATGCAGACCTGCGGATACCTCTGGGTATGAGATAAAATCTCGTCTGGATATAAAATGTAGGCACCGATGCCATCTTCTTCTTGTTGCCGGTGGCCGCTGCCTTGGTGGCCGTCTCTGTGACGGCGGCCGTGGGCGTGGGCGGCTCGTCAGCCATCACGCCATCGGTCGGCGACGCCGGCTGGGGGCCCTGCTCTTCCTGTCGCTGATGCTGCTTCTGCGGGTGCTCCTGCTGTGGGTGCTGATGCTGCTGTGGGCGGCATCGTTGGCCGGCTGCGGGCTGTTGCGAGCGCTCTGTGACGGCGCCATGGTGCGCTGCTCGTCGCTGCTGGCCTCCTTGTGCGGCCTGGGCGAGGGCTTCTCGCCCCCCTTGCCCAATCCCACGTTGGTGTGCCGTCTCTGGGACTGCGGGCTTGGGGGTCGTCTCCTCCTGCTCGCCGGTGTCCTCCGGCTTCGGCCTTGGCGCAATGTCGATAGAATCACGGCGAGCCGATAGGCCGGCGGCTGTGTTGCCCACAGCAGGAACTCGGCAAGCATCGTCATCTCGCTAGGCAGCCGCACGCGGCGCTGCCGGCTCGGGGGTCGCCTCCTCCTCCTGGCGGGTGTCCTCCTGGGCCGTGTCAGCGTCGCCGGCCCACAACTGACGAAACACCCAATACACACACACAACACAGATGCGCGTGAGGTCTGTCGGTCGGTCGGTCGGTCCGTTGGTCACCTCACCTCGCACAGAGTGAGCCGAATCCATACATGAACGTCTCAAAAAGGCGAACCCCCACATCCCAAATACAAACACAACACACAAAACACAATCATCTGCGTAGGGGTATCCACTTCATGCCCTGCACGTCATGGACAACCACACGCAGCAACAAACAGAGTGCAAGCACATATTTTGTCATGATAGATACGCACAATTTCTTACCCGGGGTGCCGTCCCGTATTGCATCCGGGCGCCTTCTGGCTGCCGCTGCACGGCCGCATCGCGCAGATTGGCCACCTCCTCGTCAGGCTTAGGGGCTGGGGAGGTGGGTTCTGTGGGGGGGCGGGACGGCGGGGCAAGGGACGCCTGACAGTTGGAAGGACATACAGAGCAGAGGTATTCACTCGCACGGCATCCATATCTGTCTCACCTCGTCTGTCGGCTCTTGCGATGTGGGGGCAGTCTTGCCTGCCGGCAGCCCTGACGAACCCCCACATCTTAAATACAAACACAAACACAACACACAAAACACAATCATCTGCGTAGGGGTATCCACTTCATGCCCTGCACGTCATGGACAACCACACGCAGCAACAGAGTGCAAGCATATCTTGTCATGATACGCACAATTACTGACCGGGGGTGCCCTCCCACTTTTCTCCCGCATGCCCGCAACGCCCTGGGGGTACCCTGTGGCCGTCTGCTGAGCCGCCAACCTGATGGATGCATGGATCAATGCGCAGAAAGAGGAAGACACATGGCGACGTGTGTCATGCTGGTGTGACTTGTGTGAGTGTCTTACGCTGCCGCCTGTTGCTGCTGCTGAGGACCAGCCGCAGGTCGCGGGCCGCCAAGATGCACACCTGCACAAACAAACCACAGACACGAACGACTCAGCCAGACAGCCACGCTACAGCCGGCCAGGGGAGTTCATCCAAAACAAAAACACAGCCATTCACCCACCGAAAACACAAACACAGCCACGCACCCAAAACACAAACACAAAGCAGGCTTCATGCACGAATTGGTATCCACTTCTTGCCCTGCACATCATGGACAGCCACACGCAGCAACAGAGTGCAAGCATATCTTGTCCTGATACGCACAATTACTTACCGGGGGCGATGTTGTGCCGTTTTTCTTCCGCATGCCTATCCAAAACACACAAAACACCGACACAGCAACTTATTCAGCCTGTCAAAGTGACATAGAAGGCAGACAGCTCATGAGGAATCTATCTTCTGCATCAATCAGGCCCGCCATTCGATCGAGCTGATACCGACCTAAACCACAACGAATGGGGAGACACACGCGGGGACACACACTACCTAGCTGGCTACATGTGGCGGTGAAGTGTGTACCTTTTGGCCATGCTCTTGTAGAAGCGCTTGCGATCTATGAGTCGACGGGCAATCGATTGAAGAATGGGACTATGGATATGAAATGTAGGCAGCCATGGGCGGGGTCGCCCTGTCTTGAACGGCCGTAACACACGACCCTCAACCTTGAGACGCAGACACACAGAGCAATGAAGACAGTCCACACATATGCTTTCCCATCCTTACCATACTTGCCAACATCCCCTGATGGCCGAGCTGTGTCGAGGCAGGCCTGCAGGGCGAGCGGACAGACACACACACATCTCATGAGAATCTGTGCTATGAGTGATCGAATTGTTTTCTTGCCTGTCGTTGTAGTCGGGCCTCCTTGGCCCTCTGTGTCCTATATCGTTGTTTTCCCAGCCCTGGGACCCCCTTCTTAAAGGTAGCTGGTGGGTGGCGCTTGGGCTTCTTCTTCCTGCTCGTCTTGGCGTCCTCGCCCTCCTCGGCGATGGGCTTGGGGTCGGGGATGACGTCGCTGGCCGACCGCTTCACCGCCTCCTTGCCATCCTTGTCCTTTTTCTTTGGATTTCTCCTTCTCCTCGTCAACCAAAGCTGATTTTTTGCCACACACCACGCACAACACACAACACATCACACAGCCACAAAGCCATGGTGTATGTGCCTCTTCAGCAGCTGACCGGCCACAAGCTGTCCCAGGCTTAAGAGGTCGATTCTCTTGTCGTACGGCACACCCAAGACAACCTCTGGAGCGAGGTATGGCTTGATGGGCCCGCCGAATGTCGAGTCGATGTAGCTCTTCAGACCTGCACTCACCCATCCACAACGCACACACACCACACCGCATCAACGGTGGCGTGATGGCGCGTGTTCCGGTCAATGTGTGCCGTCTTGCTGCGTGGCCTTGTGGCCGAGCCAAGAAAATCTCTGGAGCGAGGTACCAAGGCATTGTGTTTCATGCGCATGTCTCCTCCTTGGGCAGGTTGTTGTCATCGAAGTGAAGCTTCCCGGCCTGCTGGAAGACAGAAAGATTAATGAGAAATTAAAATCTGTCTCTTTTTCTTCGGCTTCTTTTCGCCGGACCAAAGGAAACGCATATCTGGAAAGCAGCAGACAGGGACTCTGACGTGCGCGTCAACACCAAACTCAATGAGGCAGTCACCCACCTCACCCACCTAAAGAGAAATGCATCGAGAAAAAGAGACGGGTATAAGAAAAAGGCCACCAGTTCATCTGCACGCACAAACACGGCAACAGAGGGCATCTGAGCACACCCATGGCAACGAAATGCACCATGTAATCATCCCTACAAATCATCCGCACGCCACACCGTCACCGCACCCAAGAGACATGACGCACGAGGCCACACTCATATGTACTCACCTGTTGGAGGTCGGTTTGGGCGAAAAGAAGGCGCGTGCGCACTCTGCAGGCGCCAGGAAGACACCAGTCACTCAGCAGAAGGCAGGGCGTCAGCAAACACGGCCTCACCCGGGGCACGGCGGTGGAGGAACGAAGTGACGGATGACGTCCGGACGAGTTGGGAGGGGTAGAGGAGGATGAGGAAGGTCATACAAGCCAACAACCAGCCGAAAAGAAAGAGAGACGGAGGAGATGTGGCCGAAACAAGGCTGGAAAGCGAACGCGGACGAAAAATGTGAAAAATGGACTGCGAGCTCGTGAATCTTGTCGCCGTCTCAGCTCGCGAAAATCTCGCCACTGGCGATTTCCCACGTGCAGGCATCGCGTTGAGACAACAGGGGACGAGAGAGAACACACGCTGATAGAAGAGCAGGGAATAACAGACAAAAGCAACAGTTTCCATTTGCCGCCTCCGTTTGCTTCTTGGCGATTCACCGCTTCAGTACCCCCTCTCTCTCCTCTCTGCAATGAAACAAACAAAGTCGCTAGGCTGTGTGCTGATTCCTCCACAATTGGCAGTCGACTACGAGTCATGCACGATCATTATGCCATTGCCCCGGGCCGGGCCGTGGCTTGAGAGGCTGAGCGCCTGGGTGCTGATTCTTGACAATGGCGGCAATGGCCGTGACAACGAGGAAATCGAAACGTGGTGCGAGCGCAGGAACCGCCAAGGAAAACGGGAGGATGTGGCCGCCTTCCATCCCCCACCTGGCCCACAAATTTCGTTACGTCGACCCGAGGGGCGAGCTGCTCCATCCAACCGAGTGTTGTCGACTTGTTTGACCGAGTGCGCGATCCCCCGGCCATGCAGCAGTTGATGCATTCACTTGCAAGCACACGTGTCAGTCACACAGAGTGTTATACATATACACGTACGCACATCAAGGGGAGGAGCGCCAGGCAGGCAGCACACCGCAGTGGACACAACGCAATGCACCTCATGCACACAAAAGCATGGCATGATCATGATGCCGACCACCAACACACGTACACAATCGCGAGAGAGAAGGTAGGAAGATACATAGATAGGCAGAAAGGTATAGTGAGGCCACGCGCGAATCCATCCACTGGACACACGCAAACCACAGCACTCTCCGCTCCCCCTCTCTCTCGCGTCCACTGCTCTGAGCACAGACCACTCACCGATGGAGCCGTCAATCGGGACGGCCTCACTCACAGCCCACCCCACCTGCCATTCCCATCCGTCCACCTACCCACCCAGTGGTCAGTCACATCAATCGTGGGGCATCCGACGCTCCGCTCCCCGGGCGTGGCGTGAAAAAACCCATGACCGCCGACAGAACAGAACAGGTGGCTCGATAATGAGTAGGTAGGTGGATGGATGACGGACGCTGTCTGCCTGTCTGCCTACCTGCCTTGGTGCCTTGGTGGAGTGAGTGAGAGCTCTCATGCCATGCGTGTGTGCTGAAAACTCCTGTCTGTCGGCCACCGTCATGGTTGCTGCCTGGCCTCCCTCCCTTGGTCATAAACTCACCAAAGAAAGGGTCATACAAGTGCATGCACGCACCACATTAGACAACACAACACTCCCTACGCAATCAATACCAACTCTCCCCGGGACACACACGCGCCAAAACGGCACAGATGCACCCTCACTCAGAGAGGGGGTTACGGAGAGATCAGTCTCGACGTATGCAAGGGAGTCTTGTGTGTGTCCCGTCTGCCTCGTGTGTCTCTCGTCGTGAGTTGGTCGTGTTAGTTGTTGCCCCACTGGCTGCCTTGTCCGCCGCTTTGCTGGCCCTGCTGCTGGGAGTAGTACTGCTGGTGGCTCTGCTGCGGCTGTTGGTAGCTGCCGGCGCCCGATGGCTGGCCGCCCTGGGCCTGAGATGAGAGAGGCACACACCACACACGCACCCACAACAGCCATCCATCGTCGGCCGCACTCGTGTTCACACACATACACAATAAGCGCACCTACCTGTCCATAGCCCTGCATGCCCTGCATGTAGCCAGATCCGTAGCCGCCGCCAGAGGATGTCAGGCTGCCCATGCCCCTCTGGCCGTACATCTGGCCGGCCGCCTGCTGACCGCCGGCCATGCCGCCCATGGCGGCACCGTAACCGCCGAAACCAGATCCAGCACGACCATAGTCAGGTTGCCTGAATTGTCGATATATCACAGCAGAGAGCGGACAGAGAGAGACGCGTGTGGTGTGGGACTGACTGGATCGTTCGCCAGCCAGCCTGCTTGCCTGACTATCCATCAGATCTGTCTTACCCAGTGGCTTGTGCGGTGCGTTGCTGCTGCTGCTGCTGAGCGGCCGACATCTGCTGGTGGCCGCCTGCAGCCCCCTGCTGCATGCCCATCTGGCTGGCGGAGAGGCCGCTGCCCTGCTGGGAGTAGCCGTACATGGTGCCCTGCTGACTGTAGTACCCTGACGACGCACACACACACACACACATACATACATCCAAAAATGAAGAGTGAGTAGAGCGAGTATCGAGTGTCGGTCGGAATGTTGTTCGTCACACTCACCGCTTTGGCTGCCCTGAGCCCCAGCGCGTGCCTGGCCACGGCCGGCGCCCATCATGGCCTGGGGGTTGCTCTGGATGTGGGACAAGCCGCCTGCACAAATCACAGCGCAAGACAACACAACACAACACATCACATCATGAGCATTCTTTTCATCTGCCATCCTTCCTTCCTCCTTATTTATCTATCTCACCGCCGGTGGTCTGCTGGGTCGAGCCGGTTTGCTGGGATGGCTGTGCAGTCCCTGCCTGGCCCTGCTGCTGCTGGGACTGCGCCTGCTGCTGCTGGCCGTAAGGGTGCGTATAGGACGAGCTCGCCTGCTGCCCAATCGCGCCGCCCTGCATGCCCATCTGGCGCGAGTACGCGTCACCGCCCATACCCTACACACACAACACACGACACACAGACATGCGCAGCGCACATTAGATAGATGCATTTGGTGGTGAACCGATGATGTGAGGGTACCGTACCTGCTGTTGGTCTCTCTGCGACTGCTGGAACTGCTGCTGCATCATGTGCTGTGGGTAGGCGGAGGCCTGCTGGGCCTGTGGGTGCGGCTGCTGGTAGGACTGCTGCATAGCGGCGGCATGGGCCAGGTCCTGCGTGCCCTGGGGGCTTGATGCAGGGTTGACAACCGCACTCGACGACGTGGCACCTGGAGACATACATGGACACGAACGATGATCGAGTTGAGTTGAGTTGCTCTCTTGCCGTGTCTCCCTCCATGGTCTGTGCATACCAGCAGTGGATGGCTGGGCGCCGCCCATATGCTGCCCATACATGTGCTGCTGCATGAGGAGCTGTTGTTGCTGCTGCTGGTACTGGCTCGTCTGGTCGGCGTAGTCAGCACCAGTGGTCTCACCACCACCACCATACACACCTGCGCGCACACGTACAAGACACTCATCTCATGAGTGTGCTGCTACCATGCAATGTGTCGAATTCATCAGGTACCTGGGTGCTGGGCGTATCCAGCCCACTGCTGCCGCTGCTGGCTCTGCGCACTGGTGACCGCACCGCTCGTCGACGCACCAACGCCCTGAGACGAAGCTGCATAGCACAGCGCACACCGAGACACGACCAGACCGATGGACAGAGCAGGTCGGTGAGTGGCTTTGGCGCGTGTTGTGTTGTATTGTGTGGGCCGACCTTGTGGCGCATTCGGCAGCATGCCCGGTGGCCCCGCAGCCGCCGCCATCTGCTGCTGCCCCGGCTGCTGGACGGGCGTCTGCTGGGCAGTCTGCTTGGACACGTCGTAGCCCGGCTGCTGTTGCTGCTGTTGCTGTTGCTGCTGTTGGTGCTGCAGTTGTTGTTGTTGGTGCTGCGCCAGTGCCTGGGCGTACTGCATCTGCTGCTGCGGCGTCATGTTGGCCATGTTCATATACATGCTCGGGTTGATCATGCCCTGAATGAAATCGATCCCACATTTGGGAGGGAGAGAGGCATCCCATCCACACCACACACGCACCTCCTCACTCACCTGGTTGCCCATCATGTAGGCCTGGAGCTGCTGGGGATTGTAGCCCGCAACACCCTGGGGATACCCTGTGGCCGCCGTCGGGTACATGCCGCCCACACCGTACGCAGCCGCAGTTGACGCTTGAGCCGCCGCCTGAACAACACAACACACATAGCACTTGTGTGGACAGACTGTGTTGACCACAGCCGATAGAAACGCCCTCCCCGTCGTGGCTGACGTACCTGTGACTGTCCTGGGTAGACGGGCTGCTGCTGCTGAGCCACCGGGGCCTTCTGCTGAGCCGCCAACCTGATGGATGGATGGATGGATCAATGCACAGCTGGCGTGACTTGTGTGAGTGTCTTACGCTGCCGCCTGTTGCTGCTGCTGTGCCGTCTGTGCCTGTCCTGTCACCTGGTCCTTGGCTGCCTGAGCGCCAGGCGCAACCGCACTGGCCGCAGCAGCGTTCAAACCTGAACCAACAAAGAAGAACCACACATGCATTGCATTGCAGGTGAGGGCAGGACACTGATGCATTCATTCGTTCATTCCACCAACCACCCCACCCACCGGCAAAGGCAGTGGTGCTCCCACCGGCTTGACCACCCCCCACGGCCTGCTGCTGGACACCCGTGCCATACGAACCCGGAAAGGCTCCATAGCCCGGCTGCGGCAGACCCGCCTGGGCGGCCGGACGCTGCTGCTGGACCTGCTGCTGCGCCTGCTGCTGGGCCTGTTGCTGGGCTGCTGTCTGTTGCTGAGCCGCCGCCGTGGCCTGGGGGGCTTGGGGGAACCACTGGCTGCCCTGAGCCACCTGCTGCTGGGCCTGGGCCTGGGCCTGCTGCTGCTGGTGCTGTTGTGACTGGGGAGTGGGCTGGGCGACAGTAGGGTACGCAGCGGGCTTGGGCGGCTGTTGCTGCTGCTGCTGCATGTAGGCGGCGTAGGGGCCATAGCCCACCTGCCCTCCAGCAGCGGCAGCCGTGGCCGTCCCGACCTGGGCAGCCGCAGTGGCCGCACCGGGTGCCTTGTCGTCCTTGGCGGCCTGGGGAGTCTGCACCTGCTGCTGAGTCGCCGTCTGCTGAGGCTGCGGCGTAGTGGCCTGCGCCTGTGCGGCTGCTGGCGGGGCGCCGGCGAACTTGGGCACTTGGCTGGGTGCGGGCGGAGTGGGGCCGACAGCAGGGGCAGCCTCGGGCTTGGCCGACGGAGATGGCAGCTGCATACCAGGGGGGCCACCTAGACGAACGAACGAAGAGGGAGCGATGGAATATGCGCACAGGAAGCAAATAATTGTGCCGGGTGAGGTGAGAGGTGGCGCTTCGCCTACCGTATGGTTTCGGCTGCTGCTGCTGCTGCTGCTGCGATGCCTGTGATGTCTGTGAGGTCTGGGTGACGGCCTCAACGCGATTGCCACCCTGCGACAACACAGCACATGCACCACAGACGACAGTCTGGTGACACGAACATCGTTGCTTGACGGGTCTTGGTTTCTGACCACTGGCGGCACAGCAGCAGGAGGAGGCGCCTGGGGAGCAGCCACCGGCCCCTGCACAGGTGCGTCCGCAACAGGCTTGCTCTCCGCCTCCTTGGGCCCCCCCTTCCCCCCGAAGTCGCCGAAGAAGAGTTGTGGCTTGGTGATGGTGCCGAACTGCAGACCGCCAGAAGGACCGCTCGCACCGGCAGATCCGCCAGGCAACACCACAGAAGGCTGCAGCCAGCCAAACCCATACAACAAGGGAAGAGAGGGACAGGTGAAATGTGGGTGGGGTTTGAATGAAGAGTGGATGGATGTTGACTTGACCTTGGCTTACTCGTGCGCTGGAAGTGGGCAGTTCTACAGCCTGAGACGGCGGCGCCTTCCTGGGAGCCGCGGGCGCGGCGGGCGCAGCAGGGGCTGCCCGGCCCGTCGGCGAACCACTGAACAACAAGCACACAACACAATGAGGCACACAAGGAGACCGATGAGACCTGTCTGTCTGTGATATCACCTGGTGGCGACTGCACTTGCAACAGCAGGAGCGCGGGAAGGCTCAGAGGGCTTGGGCGCAGCAGCCTCGGCTGCAGCAGCAGGTGGGTGCACGCCGAGTGCCTTCATGATGTCCATGCCGCCCTCTCGACCGGTCTTAGGCACTTCCTGGGGCTGCTGTGGATCGATGGGGGTCTTGGGCGTGATGGGCGTCACCAGACCCACAGCCACACCTATACATACAAGAGACATACATAGAGAGAATGACAGACAAGGCACGCGCGTCGCGTCCATGTGCGGTGCGAGAGATGGGTGTGTGTGTGTATGTGGCGTATGTGGTGTATGTGTCGTACCATTTGGCCCTTGTCTGCCTGGCTTGGCCGCCCACTTGGCTTGAGGTGAAGGACTGGGCACCTTGGCCGACGCACGGCTTGCCGCATCCCCCCAGCCCATGGGCGCCCTTTTGGCCGGGTCGACAGGGGAGGCCTTGAAGCTCTTGGGCTCCGTCACGCGAGTGCCGTTGGTGGCGCCGCGGCCGAAACCGTTGGTGGGCGGGCCTGGCGATTCGCCGTTGTCCTCGGGCGACGCTCCCTTGGGCTCGCTGGCTTGGCCTGTATGCAGCGAAACGTATCACACAACACATGTGTGTGTGTGCGTGTGTGTGTGTGTGTGTGTGTTCTGTGTCGGCCTCGCCCGTCATCTCATTTACCTTGGTTCCATGCGTCAGCAAGCTCATCTTGAGGCTCATGGCCGTCGAAGCCCGCCTTGGGACGGATCAGAGGCTGCAGACCGCCAGGAGGACCAGCCGCAGGCCGCGGGCCGCCAAGATGCATACCTGCAGGCACAAACAAACCACAATGAATGCACTCACAATGCACTCATGGATGAACACACATGCACCCCATCCCATCCCATCCCATCACCCACACGTCGTGTCGTGTGTATGTGTGTGTGCGTACCTCTGCCAGGCAAGGGAGCGGCTCCCGCGCCTCTGCCTCTGCCGGCGCCGGTCGGTGGCGGCTTGTTGGCTCCGAATGCGTTCGCAGTGGGAGCGGGGGTGAGGCCGGGGATGTAGCGCTGCTTGGCGGCCTCCTGCTGCTCCTTCTCCTGCTGCTCCCGCTTGGCCTTGGCTCGCTCTCGCTTGGCGGCCTTGTTCAGGGGCTGCTGCCACTCCTCGTTCTCATGGCCCTTCTTGTCCTGCAAGATGTTCCACACCGCCATCTCGACCTGAGGAGTCAAGGAGAGAGGGAGGGAGAGAGGGAGGGAGAGAGGGAGGGAGGGATTCAGACATGCATATGATGATTCATGCGGTGAATGGAGCGTGTGTGCGTGTGTGTGCACGTGCCTGTGCCTGGTCGTATCCGCATCTCTTGACGAGGTTCTGTATGTCCTCATCGGAGTAGCCATACGGGTCAAGGAGAGGCTTGACATTGCCGGCAATCACCTGGATGTCCCCCGCACCGCCCTCGCCAGAGCTGCTGCCGTTGGCCTTCTTCCCTCCCCCCTTGTCACCCTTGTCGCCCTTATCGGCCTTGTCGGCCTTGGTTGACGATACCGGCTGGTTGCTGGAGCTGCTGCCTCCCTCGTTGACATCCTCGGCGCTCGCACCAGGTGTCTCATCTTTGCGCTTGGATGCGGCAGCTGCCTGCTTCTCCTTTGCCTTGTCGGCGTCGCCGTCCTGCTTGCTCTTCCCTTTCCCTTTACCCGACATGACCGACCACTGCTTGGCTTGCTGATCACTCACTGGCCTGGCGAGAGCGCCGCGACGACGGATGAGACACGACCACAGACAGATACGCTGGACAGATTGACGGACTAGACGAATGAACGGGGAGGCAAGGAGAGCCGGGGTGGCAGGGAGATAGATCTGCGAGCTGGCGAGGCGGTTCTCTGGGTTTCGAAACCCTGCAGGTTTGGGGAGGCAGCCGGGTAGTCTTCTATGGCGAGTCGGCAAAAAACCACATCAGCACTCTGCCGCCCCCCCGCAGCTCAAGGGCCTCGTGAGCGTCATGCAGAGGATCGTCCAGACATTCGCTGCGCGGTTGGCTGAGCTGTCGCAGGACATGGCTGCCGAGAAGGCCCGATACGACCGACTGATGCGCGAGATCAAGGTGAGAATGGCAGAGGGGACTCGGAGGGAAAAGGGGGCGGGTTGATTCGCGTGTTCTCTCTGTGTGTTGTGTGTGTCACAGGCGGTCGCTCCCTTCCTGCGGCCCACGAGTGGTGATGAGTCTATTCGCTCCATCCGAGTGTCGGAGGACGACGGGCGGCCCGATGTATGTGGTCATCAGCACCACTCAGTCGACTCTTCAGGAGACCGCCAGCAGCCTGCGCAGCCGATTCGACACGTAAGCGCACAGCCACGAGGGCTCGCACTGACCCGGAACTTCACCCGGGACGACGTCTCGTACATACAAGTTCCCGTCGGCCTGCGGCAACACATGGCCTACCTCTACTTCCAGCAGCTGCGGGATGAGACGGCCAAGCAGCACCTTCCTGCCCGGCAGTCTACTGCCCGCCGGCGAGTAGCGAGCGTCCCCTGTCTGACCAGCGAGCACAACCATACCCGACCTGAACCCCCCATACTTGCAGGCAGACTGGCAGGGAGGCTAGTATAGTGTGGCTGTCCTCTTGGTGTACTCACTCTGTGCATCCAGCCAGTCGAGTTCATATACGTGAATCAGCGAACTGAAGGCGCCATGAGGTTGAATTGGTCGTGTGTGTGTGTGTGTGTGTCTGTGCGCAGTGGCGGCACAGCTCGGCAAGGCGGCAGGTGGATGGGCGAGGTCACGACGACAGCCACTGGTATGCGGATATCGGGCAGTCTGGAGGCCCTCCCGTCCGACACACTCGGCCCTGTCGCCTTCGTCCGTTATTGGTCGCGCGAAGCTGCCTGAAGGCTTCCTTGCCAACTGTGTGAGCAGCTTACCGTGGCCGTGACGGACAAGGCCGCTGGGCAGTTCCTGCTGTTTCTGTACCCCGAGCTGGGCGGGCAGAGCAACTGCATTGCCGAGTTCATGACGCCCGGCGAGGCGAAGGACACCGTGGCTTCTGTGGGGTTGGATGCCTTTGAGGGTCAGAGGAGGGGCAAACCTGAGGCACTGCCACCACTCGAGAGCGTCAGGGGCAGCATCGAGGGATTTGGTGACGGTGACCCACAACACATGACCACATCACACTCTCTTCTCCCATCTCCTCACTCAGGGTGAATGTTGGCCATTTTCTCAATGGCGATTTGTGGATGCGGCGGCCCGCTCTGTCCAGCATGACTGAGACCATCGAACGCACTCACACCTGAGGTACACACACGAGGGCACATATGAGCATTCACTCACTGTGTTGTGCTGTGTGGTGTGCGTGTGCTGTGTGTGGTGTAATGTAGGTATCGTGCCGCTCTGTCGTTGTGGTGGCTGGGGCCATCGCTTTAGTTACTTTGTTGATCGTTCGTTCATCACTCGCTATGGACGGCCAGGTTCCCCCCACCTCTCCGTACCAGCCAGCATCGCCCCTGTTCCCTCTGCTGCAGCAGCCCGAGGCCGATCTCCGCCCCTCTCGCCCCAGGCAATGGAAGAAGAGCCACCCCCACCATGCAGCTCCTGCTGCTGCTGCCCCTGCTTCTGTCGTCACGCCCAAGGCTGCCCCGATCCGTCCGTCCGGCAGCCGCGGCGCCGGCTGCCCGACGCACAGCCAAAGGCCCCCCTCCCCCTCCTCCCCCCGCATTTCCTCTGCGTTGAGTCGACGAGAGGGAGGAGAGTGCAGATGACACGGACGATGCCCGTGGTGCGAGGGGACGCTGCACGATATGGCTCGCATTCACGTCCAGCATGATCTCATCCCGTAGGCATGCACACACGAGTACAACAAGGAAGCACCCCCTGATTTGTTTGTGTGCTGGTTTCAGGACTGAGTGAGGTTTTTGTGTTTCTGGCTATGCATCGGCTGATTGACGTGATCGTCACATCAGCTGGTGGAGTGGAGGAGGAGTTCATCAAGTGCATGGCCCCCACATTCATCGGTCAGACAGATCTATGACGACCACACATACACACACAGCCAGCCAGCCAGCACATTGTCTGTGTCTGTCTGTCTCTCTGCACTCACTGCGCAGACGAACACACACACGAGCCACCAGCAAGCCGTCTACATTCGTGGTGCATTTTTGTGTGTGTGTGTAGGTATGCGTGGTGTGAGGTGCATGTTTCCGGTGACCTTTTCTATGCTGAGAGTGAGTCGCTGCCCTGTGATAGCACCGTACGGTGTGGTAGAGAGTACGCTGTGACATTTGTCTATCGAGAACATTGGTATGTCTGTCCATTCCCCGTAGCTACGTCGTTACCCCGAAAGAGAACGCACGGCCCCCACGGAAACATGTGCACGCATGCCCTTCCATGAAGTCAGGCCTTGACGCATGTATTAGCTCTCGAATTAGGACAGTTAGCCATATAGGATGACCATCAAATAAACTATAACTGTTTTAATGAGTCCACAGCCACAGAACGAAAAAGATGAGCAATGGTCAGCAACATGGCCGATCCAGCACGAGGCACATCTGACCGTTACTGGGTGCCCGCTATAATCGCTTCTGTCTGATCCAGCACGTGATCCAGCACGTGATCCAGCACGTGATCCAGCACGTGATCCAGCGACGCACTCAAGAACTCGGAAGGGCACGTCCGCTCGAGCGATACACCGAACAGCAGCTTCTGGTCGGCATCAGATGGAACGATCCACTTGATTCTTGTGCCCTCCTCGACCACCATCTCGGTGGGCTCCTCCGTCTCCCCAGCCCTCCCTCTCAGCCACACGCACTTCATCTCCAGTTGCCCGCTGGAGAGTGATGCGCTGCTGCCAGGCGAGGATGCGTCAGGGAAGGGATTGCCGACATCAGAGGTGTCGAATTGGATGGCCGGATGCGTCCCCGGCTCTGTTGTTGGTCGCTTCGGCCCGCGACGGCACTGATAGGCCCACAGGTCGGCCACCTTGCCGTCCTCGATCACCAGGATGAAGAAGTCGTATCGATGGAAGGAATTTTGCGAAGGCTGCAACAGGAAGGCTGCGGTGCCCTTCTGCAGAGAAGGAGAGCTCTCCAGTTCGTAAGGGAGCCAATCTTGCAGCCAGTTGGCGATATCGTCGGTCGTCTTCCACCGACCGCTGACAATGTGTCCTCCAAACTGGCACCCCTCGATGACCTGACACAACACGGACACAGAAACATCGATGAATCAATGTATGTATCGCGACCGACAACTAGCTAGCCAGCCAGGTGTGTGATGTGCTTACAGGAAGCGGCAAGAGCTTTGCAAGTTTGGCCGGGATAGGTGGAATGCGCCTAAATGCTCCGTCCCGTTCCGCCTTCACACGCAGGTCGCTCTGTAGCATGCGGAGAAGAACTGCCGCCGCACAGGGCCCCTCCCACTGGTATCCTGACTCGTCCGTCGACGTAGCGAGTTTCTCCAGGTTCTTGGAGACGCCACAGAGACCGGAGAAGAACCGCTCGCCGAAAATCTTCATGAGGTCGGAAGCCAGCCGGTCGCACACACCGGCGAGATAGCAGGGGGGCCACACATACATCTCGTCGCCCCCCTCCTCGAAGACATCCAACAACACGGACCATCTGCCGATGTCGGCGGGCTGTGTGGCGCCAGGGAACCTGCCATCCATGGCTGTCGTGATAAAGCGGCCAATAGTTTCTTGACTTCTGGCGGCGACATGTCTGTGAGGGGGTTCAGGACGTCGCCCGCCATTCTATCGCGACTACGGTAGCGGGTGATCCACAGCAGTGCAGGCGAGCGTCCAACCCAACACACCTCAGCCGGAGTGGCTCGATAGCGGACGTCGGAGATCACCTCGTCGAGATCGGCCTGTTCGATGAGCGGCAACTGCGGCATTAAGACGTGCCGGTTGCTTCTGGAATTCAGGAACTGCTTGATCTCCTGCGCGATTGTGGGGACGTGGCTGGAGAAGGCGAAATACCGCCGCCGGCGCGTGAGGAAGTGCTCTCTGAGATACCGGCCCAGCTGGGCCTCCATTGCCGTCCACTCTGGCCCGCCCTGCCGAGTGACGACCGCGTTGAGCTCATCTATGAGCAGCACCAGAGGGTTGTTGCCCAGCCACTCATCGATCACCTCCTCGTCGACAGACACATGCTTGATCCAGTTCCAGAAACGCAGCGTGTCAACGTCCACATTTGCCGCCCGTGCCACCCGCTCTCGCGTCTCGTTGGTCGCCGCTTTCCACGCCAGCCGCAGAAGCAACGACTCCACCAATGATTGCTTGGGTAATTCGCCGTCCTTCGGAAATGAGTAGGCTGATTCATCATTGAACGAGACGAAGATGGCAGGCCTCCCCTCGCTGTACAGCTTTCTACCGAGCTCCACGAGAAACCGAGTCTTGCCCCCGCGAGAGAAGCGCGTGAATGTCATGGGTGGTATACGATCGCCGCCGAAATCGTCTTCGGCTTGCTCGTACTTGGGCAGCAGCATTGAATAGGCGCGATCGAGATACTTGCCGCCAATGAATGTCGCAGGACTTATGGTCACGTTCACCTCGGGCGGCGGCGGCGGCAGGTCAGCAATGGGCACGAGGCTACCCACTGTGAGCTTGACAACGCGTTCTGCAGACGAAGCACCGACACGCCACACACGCGACATGAACATTCGCGCATCTACAGGTGCCTGCCCACGTGTGTGTGTGTGTGTGAATGTGCGCCCACCCTCCGGAGCCGCTTTGCCGGCTTCCTCCAACGTTCCGCCGACCCTGTCAGACTCTGTTGACGACCACCTGACAAACACACACACACAGACAGACAGACAGACAGACAGACAGACAGACAGGGGCCATGATTCATGTGCCTGTCGGTGTGTGCACAGTATCTGGGTATCTATCTGTCTATCAGTGCATGGCATGCAATGCACCTGGCTGCCCCAGCCGCCCGCCGTCTTCTGATGGGAGAGGCCAGCGACAGCGGTGTGGAGGGATAGCCCACCTGAGTGAACACACACACACGTCCGCAAAGCCCTCACTACATTCCCTCACTGTCCAGCCACCCACCCACCCAGCGCACCTGAGGGTGATGGGCATCAACACGATGGTTTCGACGCCCTGACATCGTTCCGACGAAGGCAGCCTCCCCCGTAGCTCTCCCGTATCGTGCATTGTGTGCGCGCACGCGCATCCCGTCGAGCTGAGGGACCATCATCTGGCTGTGTGGCGATGCGGCACCGGTCACATCGATGCACGACGAGAGGGCGAGGACGACACCGACGAGCTGGGACGGGAGAGCCATTAAATGAGCGTGTGTGTGCAGGCCAGTAGCTACAGTGATGCAGAGCAGAAAGCTGTACAGCGAGAGCGCCGCGACGACGGATGAGACACGACCACAGATACGCTGGACAGATCGACGGACTAGACGAATGAACGGGCAGGGAAAGAGAGAGCGGGTCGGTCGGTTATGGGTGCCAGGGAGATCTGCGAGCTGTCAAGGCGGTTTTCTGGGTTTCGAAACCCTGCAGGTTTTGGGATGCAACCGACTCGGGTACATGTGCATGTACGCATACGTGTGTGCATCCTGCCCGTGCACGGCGAGTGCACCGCGGTAGAGACACACTGTGCATGGCATGGCATGGCATGGCATGGCATGCAACACCTCCTTGTTCACTCACTCAAAGCACATGCATGCCATGCGCTCTCTATCTACCAGCTTGCTTATTCAGCTAATTCACAACAAAGCATGCATATAATACACTACAATACACTACAATACAGTGTGAACACACCAACAGCAAAAGGGCTGACTGGTGTCTGTCGGTCTGTCTGTCGGTCTGTCGGTCTGCTTGGCCTCACTCTATGACGGCCCCTTGTTCACAACAACAACAGTGTGTGTAGGCTGGATGGGGATAGCTAGATAGGTGGATGACAAACACACCCTTCTATCACACAAACCTTGCCCAAGCCACACCTCACTTGAGAGTGGTCAGCCGGGCGCAGGTAAGGGCTTCAGACGAATGCATCTGTCGCACACGTCGGAAAACATTACCAGCGCCCAGCTGACCACACACCCAAGAGAGCAAGCAGCGCCCAATATACTGAGACCGACCGGTGTGGACAAAAGGTAGGACAACACAGATCACATCCACTGGCACCCAATAAGCACATCAAGACAGCTAGCTGCCGTTCCCTGTCATTTCTCGGCTAGTCCTGGTGTGTGGTATGCTGCACAGCCGCAACGCTTGTCGACGGATGCATTCGTCGCACCGTCGCTGTGCGTTGGAGCTGTCCATCGCACCACACATCGAACCAGGCCAGGGCAATCTCGAGATGTGTGGTGAACATATCACATGACATGCACGACACCGTGATGAACAGACAGGACGTCTCTCAAGACGCCGCGCTCGCTCCGCCCTCCAAAGGTGTGGTCTGTCGGGGACGTGCAAGCGGCTTCCCACGGGTGCAATCAGCGCACCTGCCGAAACAACTTGCACATCGCCAGCAAACCACATCTTTCGAGAGCAACAACAGATCCATTCATTGTATGAGTGTTTCTTCCTTGGCGCGCTGCCTCGCTGTTGCAAAAAGGTACACAACAGTCAGTCAGTCAGTCAGGAGCAGACGGACGGCGACACGCACGGAGGAGACGTATATATGTACAGGGTACTATCAACAGGCGATCGACAGGGTGGCTAGTTTACAGACGGGATGGACGGCACGGCACCGCACGCAGACAAAAAGAGGGAGGCAGGGAGCACCGTTGCAGTCAGTCACACCCGCACAAAAAGACAGACAGACAGACAGACAGGAGAGAGAACAGTGCAAACAAAACTGACCCATCCCTCCCATCCACCGACGCACACAACACACAACACACGCACATACACACATTACACTTGCATCCCCTGACTGACTGTCCGTATGAGCGATAGACACCGTGTGTGGATCCATCCATCCATCAGCCCTGTGTGGCCGGCATTGCTACGTGCATGAGGGGCACACCGACGCCGCTCTCGTCTCGCTGGCCGTGGTCGTGGTTGTGTGTCTGGTGGCCACCCACCTCAACCTCGGCCTTCATCGGTGCTGCACACACACAACAGACAGAGCATATGTATGAAGACGCTCTACCCTCTCCCTCGCCCCATAGCTATGGCATATATATACCCAGGTGCGAGAGGATGATGGACCAGCAGAACGACACGCCCGCCACCCAGGCAATCCTGAACTGTGGCGGTATGACGGCGAAGGTCATGATGTGACCGGGCGTCCACAGCATCCAGTAGTGGGGCAGCACCGAGGCGGCCTCTCCCCTGTACTCATAGAGGCCCTCCAGAGGCCGCTTGCCGTTCAGCACCGCCTTGAAGACGTAATACACGGGGAAGTAACTCAGCGGCGTGTGCACAAACAGCTCACACAACACCTGCAGACACACGTAGACACCCATGAAGGCCTTCGTGCACATTACACTGTGTGTGCGAGTTGCCCTCATATATCCCTACCGTACTTACCTTCCTGGTGACCACGACAAGGCTGCATCCGGTGCCAAGGAAGCGAGGGAACACCACGTTGTACCAGAAGTGCTGGGCACACCCCTGCAGTGCACGCAATACAACAACACAACACATACACACACAGTGGCATAAATGACACATCAGTCGTGTCAGTCAGTCATCGCTGCACTAGCTAAATGGCCGTCCTTCATGTGGCTTGTCGGCCTCTCTCACCGTGTACGCTGCGCCAAAGAGGGCGAATTTGGCGTTGCGCGCCACATCCAGCGACTCACAGCCCTCCACATTCCGCTGAGTGATCACGTCGCTCGCACTCGCCTGCACACGCCATACGTACAGATGCGCCATGCATGGATTCGGTGAAAGGACCGGCAGTTTGTTTGTGTCTGTCTGTGTCGACCAACACACCTTTATGCCACATGTTGCGAAGGCCATCAAGTAGGGCCAGTCGTCATACTTGGCCTTGTACCTGCACACATTCACAGACGGACACAGACAATTGATATCCTCTTGCGTGAGCGCACAGAAGTCCATTCGTTTTGTTCTCGCACTCACCATTGGAAGAAGCGCCTGAACACCTTCATCGCGGCTTTGCTTGCACGTCTACCACTGGAGGCCGAGGGAAGCTGCCCGGCTTCGTCTCTCTTCTCCTCCTCGTGCGAGCTGCTGCGGCGGCGCGAGCTAAGCCGCGGAAAGGGCGGAGTCGAAACGGCTGTGCTTTGCTGTAACCCGTCGTCTCAGCGAGTCACAAGATCTCACTCTTCACTGCTGAATTGGTGAATTGCCTCTATCTCGTCAATCAATCAGTCCATCAGTGACTGACAGTCGACTGACAGCACTTATTGGCACTGCACGACTTAGTCCACGATGTCGCAGTTCCGCGAGACGTTCACCAAGGAGGAGAAGAAGGACCCGCTGCTCGACTACGATGACAGCGCCTTCCTCTACTTCGCCGGCTCCTTGCTGCTGTGTGTGCTCATCCCGTGGACCTACTGCTTCGTCAGCGCTTTGCTCTTTCCCTACAACTCTGTCGCTGCACGCGAGTTCCCTGTCAAGTCGCGGAGTGGGAGTGTGTATCGCTACTGCCAGTGCTCCTTCGACGTCACACGAGTGGAGAATGCCAAGAAGGTACGTACGTACGTACGTACGTGAGGGTGGAAAGGAAGTGTGGGTGAAGGAAGTGCCCCTGATGTGATTGATGGTGGGCTGGCTGGCTGATGAGTGGGGAATGTTTGTTTGTTTGTTTCTGTCTGTCTGTCTGTCCGTCGTGACATAACGGTGTCATCAGCGAGCTGCGAGTTGGAAGAACCGCCTGACTGTCAGCTTCGTCCTCCAGCTCATTGCACTCATAGGGTGAGTGCGCAGACAGACAGACGACAACAAACAGCGGCCGGCCGGCCGATCCCGCGCAATGCAATGCAATTGCGTGTGTGGTGTGTGTTGTGTTGGCATGGCAGGTTGTGGTACTCGTTCTACCTGTTGAGTCAGCAGCTGAGTGGGGAGAAGGAAATACAGGCCTTCGACCCCTACGCAATACTAGAAATATCTATGGGTCAGTTCGTGGGGGGACCACTCAATGACACACACACACACACCACACACCACACACACCACACACACCACACACACTCTCCTCTCTCTGTGTGTTGTGCCGACCCACAGGTGCGTCCGACCGTGAGATCAAGAAGGCGTATCGGTTCATGTCGCTCAAGTACCACCCCGACAAGAACCCCAATGATCCTCTGGCCGCATCAAAGTTCCTGCTCATTTCCAAAGCATACCAGGCGCTCACTGACGAAGTGAGTGAAGTGACCGACACACACACACACACACACACACACACAAGGACGGACTGCTGAAAGCAGAGGCAGGATGTGTGTGTGTGCGCGCGTGTCTGTGTGTGTGGTCAGGTGGCGAAGATGAATTGGGAGAAGTACGGCAACCCCGACGGGCCGGGCACCATGAAGGTCGGGATCGGACTGCCGAGGTCAGCACACACACACAGACAGCCACGACACGCACACAGACAGCCACGACAGACAGACAGACAGACAGAGAGACAGAGAGGGCTCCGACGTGCCCGCCGTTTTGTCTGTCTGTCTGTCGTTCTATCAGGTTTCTGTTGGAGGAGGATCAGCACTTGTTGATCCTGTGCACCTTCTTCATCTTCCTCCTCTTCTTCGTCCCCCTCACTTTCATCTGCTACTACCAGAGACAAAAGAAATACGCTCGTACGGACGTCGGGCGTGGCATTCTTACAAACATCAACCACAACAGACGCGCACAACAGACGCGCACACACACTGTGCACTGTGTGTGTGTGGTTGTCTTTGATGGTGTGTGCTCACCAGCCACTGGTGTGCAGGTCGACACGCTCCACTTTCTCTCCTACTACCTGACCGACGGCACCCGCGTCAAGAACGCACCCGAGTTCGTCGCGGCCTCTGCCGAATCGAGAGAGCTGCAACTCAGGTGCGGTGCGCGTGTGCTTTCACCCAGTGGACGGACACATGCATATGTCACATCTCTGTGTCTGTCGTTGCCTGCAGGCCGACTGACAACGAGGAGATGGCTGTGGTGATCCGTGAGGTGGTGGAGCCCAAGAAGCGGCAGTTCACGCAGCCCATTATAGTGCGGAACTACTTCCTCATTCTGGCACACATGCAGCGACTGCACGACAAACTGTCACCCTCCCTGCAGGTGGGGAACCACCACACACACACACATACACACACACACACACACACGACGCGCAACACGCAATGACCTACCATCGATCTCTCTCTCTCTCTCTCTCTGTGTGTGTGTGTGTGTGTGCAGAGTGACTTGAATGCGCTGTTGTCGGCGTCTCTGAAGATCACGCAGTCGATGATCGAGATAGCGCAGCTGAGGGAGTGGATCCTCACCGCGCAGTCCATGGTGGAGTTCAGAAGGGGAATGGTCCAGGCGCTCGACGTCAAGAGCAGCAGCCTACTACAAATACCCCACTTCGACGAGGAACTGCTCAAACACTGTCACAAAGGTCGGTCGAGAGTGGGTCGGTGGCTGTCGGGTGTGTGTATGAGTCTGTGAGTCTGTGTGTGTGTGTGTGATGTGTGTGGTTTAGGGAAGAATGCGGTGCGGGATTTGACCGAGTTCATATCTCAGACGCCGGAAGAGCGGAAAGGCCTCTCCAAGATGAACCCACAACAACTCGTACACTACACACACAAGTCCATTGATTGCCTCTGTGCCTGCCCTGCCCTGCACTGTTGTGGTGTGCTGTGTGTATTGTGTCGTGTGTGGTGGTGGTGGTTGGCGGGTCAGGCTGACGTGCAGGCCTTCTGCTCCCACGTGTCCGATATGGAGCTCTCGGCAGCGATATGTGTCCAGGACGAGGTATATCAGTCTGTCTGTCTGTCAACATACACACGACCGATGCGTCACAGAGGGCGGCCACACTCCTGCCTCTCTCTGTGTGTCTGTGTCTGTGTCTGTGTGTGCAGGAGGAGATCGTTGAGGGTGATGTGGCCACTGTGACGGTCAAACTAGTCCGGAAGAACCTCCTGGCAACCCTCTGCACACACCATTCACAGCACAGCCACCATGCCCTGTGTGTACCGATTTGATTGGATGGTCCGTCCGTCTGTGTGTGTGTGTGTGTGTGTGTGTGTAGGATGGGGAGGCGATGGGTCCGGTGCACGCGCCGTTCTTCCCAGACACCAAGTTTGAGGAGTGGTGGATATTCCTCACAGACAAAGCTAGTGGTCCGTCCGTCCGTCAGCTGATCCATCCGTCCATCCACCACCCACCCCACCCACAACACTGACGCCATCCCATCCGGATCGTCTGTGTCTTGATGTCATGTGTGTGTGCAGGTGGCTTGATAGCTCAGGCCCGAAGCCGCTCGCCGGAGAAGTACGTTGAGGAGCAGCTGCAGTTCCAGGTGCCAACCAAGCAGGGCAGCGGCAAGATGGTCCTGCTCGTCACGGCCATGTGCGACAGCTACTCGGGAATCGACAGAACCACCGAAGTCGAATACAAGGGTGGGTGGGTGGGTGGGTGG